ATTTTAATGCGGTTGCATACCACCATTGTTATGTTGATTGATCTACAGACAGCATTCTTATAAATCTCGATGCCTCCTAGGCCTTGATGGTGCGTACATTAGTAGAACGATCACCCTGACCGACGTCCGTGGTCGAAGCTGTCTATGCACCTAAGGACGCTAAGACGGGTGCAATAACGGCGACCCGATCCGGTCTCTGGCGAATCTGTAGGGGTCGTTAGGACCCAGGCCGAATCTAATAGTTTATTTTTAAGGAGACGGGGTGGGTGAATGACCGGGATAACATCGTCGATGGTTGTTGACAGCCAACACAAGCTGTACTGGGCGGATAACCATCAGAGATAATGCCTGAACATAGGCAAGCATAGTTGGTCTGTCATTTTGTTGAGGAATAGGGGCACCGCAGGAGCTGTTGTTTTACCATCGGTCCCGGGAAACTCCGGGGAGCTGCAGTACCCGGCAGCGATTTCGGACGGTGCCCCGGTTGTAGGGGAACGGAAGACAATAGCCTCAAATGCCTTCCCCTGGATCCGTCAGTGGGCTGCCCCACTCCCAGCTTTACTAAAAACGTCTTCAAATCCCATCAGACACCCGATGATAATGTGAATTCAAATCCGATAGCTCATCTCTGTCTGCCCGCCTAAATATACTATACACCGCACGGAGCCCGGCCCCGTCGGAGTCCTGAGCCGACCCGACCGTGACATTTTCGGCTTTCCCCATCCCAAGCTCGATTAGAACCCCACCCGATTGCTGATGTTGATTCAAATTCAATACCTCGTCTATGCCTGCCCGCCAAAAACCCTTTCATCGCACACCGTACAGCGCCCGACCCCGCCAGAAGTATCCTAGCGCGCTGAGTAGTTGCCTCCAGCCGCGTCATCGCAAGGCCCCGCGAGGCGCATAAATGAATACATTGCGCGAATAGCCGTGTCGCCCCCCTGATCGGTGCACACATCAGTATACACACAGACACACACAGACATACAAACACATATAATTGACCTTGACCTAACTTGACCTGAAATGACCTCAGCAGCAAAATTCTGGTCGGGTAGTGTGACAAAGAGGTTCTAGCTGGCTTGGCACCAGAAAACAGCATCGTCATCGGTATTTGATAAGCAGCGCACTTGATATCCAACGGTGACCCAAAACAGCAACATTTTTTAGTTTGACCTGACCTGGAAGGTCAATGACTGACCTGAGAAGGTAAAACTGGGTATCATTGGATTCGTCTCTTCCCAAAGAATCTTTTTGGTCTTTACCGCTAAGCTCTATCTCCAACAGGAACGAAATGGCGCGGGGGGGGGGGGTGGCAACCACCCCCCCCCCCATGTGCGTTCTAGGATGGGAAAATGGCATGTGCGGGCGAGGGTTAATGCACACGGCCCCGCATAAGGCTATGGGTGTTACACCTGTGACCTCAACATAGGTCAGCCGTGATAATGAATATCGAAAGATTGGGTCGGTCAGGTGGGTGACGGCACGTGATCGCCTGAGGCGGTGGGGGGTAAAAATATTTTCGTCATTTAATGCTCAATGCAATCGCTGCGACTTTTTACAAGACCTTCTTCTTGTCGTTGTTCCTTGCTTTCAACGACTGGTCCTCGAGTGATGACTATCCTCACGCAAGAAAGGATGAATGGAGCTAGCAATTAAGCCCAAAAAACATATCGAAAATGTTACAAAACACTTCTTTTGAAGGAGATGAATTGAATGGTTTTGGAGCCTCACGAAACATGTTTCAGATATGACGCGTAAAACAAACTGACGCATAAAGACTGTGTTCAAAAGTGTGAGCGGCAGCTCCGTAAGCACTTGTTGACAAATGAAAATCGTAGGTACTGCTCGGTCGCCATAGCAACAAGTGAGCGTCACAAATTTCGAACACTATCTGAGTGCGCCAAGTTCGGCTACATCGAGGACGATGGGTGATGGTTGTCAGCTGATTAAATTAATGAAACGCGAATAAATTCATTTTTTTAGATTAGGAGTAAAATCTGTTTGTTACTTTCAAATATCATTAAATTAGTTTTTGTATATAAAATAACTACAAACGTCTCTGTGCAAGGAATAAATCAAGGCTTATGAAAATCGTGAGTAGGGTTGGGAAAAGCAGAAAAAGGATCACGTGATTGGCGTCCCAACCTTATCTGTAAGAATATTGGGGTCGGTAAAGCGCAGCTCTCCGTTTCTAGGCTGTGGCGACGATATATTTGGAATTAGGATAGGGATGGGTAGGCGGCGGCGGTAGTGGGTATACATATGTAATAGTGCGAACAGTCCAAATGTACCTAGTGCAGAATGTTTCTAAAGGCGAAAACTTGTCAAACAATAAAGCATTCCGAGCGATCCTCTTACGCCAAAAAAAAAGAGATAATCTTGCGCCAGTAGAATCGCATGTCCGGGTGCACCCACGGACTCTTGGGTCCGTGGGTGTCGAATTTTGTCCATCCGAGGTATGCAGAGGTTTTTGGTCCATCATTATCTTTTGGAGCCTTGCACGCTGTCAGTACTGGTGTCTGCTGGCGGTTAGTCACCGGCCGAGGGAACCCCGTCGGCCGGTCAGTTTGACAGCCGTGACGGCCACGAGCTCGCGGCGGTGCCGCCGATGTGGGCGTCTAACCGCCTCTCCGCCCACGTGAGCCCCCCCCCCCCTGCTCGATGGAGCAGCGCTGACATTTGTACCGCCACCTGCGCTGCCTTGTTTGTCACCATGGGGCCACCCATTTTGTCAGAGTTGGATGACAAGATGACCATGTGCGCTTGCATCATGCAACTGGGCTAACTACCTGAAATCGACTAATCCTTACTTGTTTTGGATGGTGCAATCCCGAAAATGATTTACTTTAAGTTTCTTATATTTTAAAAGCCATGTCACCAGTTTCAATTGAAATATCAATATTTCCGGCTCGAACTTCGAAAGGTTAAATGACATGAAGTCCATGAGGTAGGTATGAAAGTAAAAGGTAGCGTCAATTTCATAATACGCATTCTGTGCCAGGAAGACACATTTTAGTACGCTTGAGATGTGGAAACGGCCCGGGCGCGTGTGCAAGTGCACACGTATACTGAATCCATAGCTGAGTTGCCGGGCACTCTTCTCATCGGTTCCCAACAGGGAGCCAAATTTGAGCGTATTCAGCCCAGCCGTTTCTTAGCCCAGCGTTTGGGTCGGCCCCTGTACAACGTGTGCACAATCAGTAGTCAGTACACCCCAAGCAGGATGCATGGTAATACATCGCCCGGTCCAATGTCGACCACCTGGTCAAGTTTTAGCGTAATCCACCCGGTCAAAGCAGGCTATGGCCTGCGGAATAACGTAACACTTGTGTCGGTCGCAATAAAAATTGTTGAATTAACCCGCGCATCGACAGGGGGTGGGGGGGGGGGGCGCCGGGCGGTTAATCGCCCCCCTGACCCTGAGGTTTTTCGTGAATAGCGGGACGCCGCAAAATTTGGCATGAATATTCCCTTGTCAATTTTACACATGGTGTGCAAGCTTCAACCCCCTACCTTGTCACGAGGTCACTTCGAATAACCCAACCTCAAATCACTTTTTTGCAACTTTGTCACCGCGTCAGAGCTACGTGATGACTGAGGCTTTTGAAGGTCGCAAGATGTAATGAGATCATTAGTAGCTACAATTTGTTCATCTCGGAATTTTGATATCGATGACCTAAGGTCAGGTAAATTTCTTGACCTCCCCATTGAATGTCAATGGGGGAAAATCAACTCCCTGTTTTTCACTAAAAGGCGTCGGAATGGCCCAATATACCAAAAATGACTTCAGATCCGAATCCAATCAACCTTAACTATATTGAGGCCTATTTTGCTATTGATCAACTGTAAGGTCATGTGACGTCATCAAAGGTCATCATAGTTTTTTTGCTAATAACTCCTTACAGGAATGAGGTACCTATAGCCACGCGGGTGGTCTCATTGTGTTCAGCTCGTCAAGGCACATCGAATGATATGGGTACATGATGACCTTGAGGTCACGTGACCTGAGGTCAACCTTTGACGTTGACCTTTCGAGGTCAACACATATATGTTTCGATACGGATTTACGACAGGATCACGATAGTGCCATTATTTTGTTCCTAGCTTCGCTAAGTTTCGAAAGTTATTCAAGAAAAACTCCATATCTAGCGCCGCCATTTTGACCTTTTTGACCTCTGTGACGTCATCTTTGACCTGACCTGAAAAAGACCCTAGTAAAAATTGTAGACCTTGTCCGTGCGTATCCGATGCCGTTTACCGCATGTCGCTAGCTTGCTTCGTTCTCGAGATCTCAAGGGGGGGGGGGGCGGTCAACCGCCCGTCCCCGTCGGTTCTAAGTTGACGCGGACCCCCGTCGGTGCGCGGGTTAATAATAGAAAGGATGGGACTGTCTGGTACAGAAGATCGCTTGTTGATCGGTAGAGCGGTTGCCAAGACGTTGGGCTGTGAAAAGGATCGCGGGTCGACCCAGTTAGGGCCGCTCAAGGCCCTAAAACATAAGGCCGCTCATATGGCCCTAATAAGGCCCTTGAAATAAAAATAAGAACGATATGGGGTTAGGAAATCAAAGCGAGCAAATCTTCAATTAGATTGAAAAACATAAATAGTCGCCTTTCCAGCCGATTCCGACATGACCGCGCCCCTCAACACCAAATTACTTTTCTTACGACGTATATAATGCATTTTTTTTTTGCAAAGTTGACTCATGTTTCGGCTGTTAAAATTCAAAGCCGAAAGGATGAGAGCATACCGCAGACAAGACGTTTCCACTGTGCGGCGGGTGAATGAAACGGGAATGAATCTACAAGTCAACCTAAAGGCGTATGAATTAGTGGAGCTCAACACAAAGCAGGCTGCATTCACGTCAAGCCAGCAAAGACTGTCAGCTATGGTGTAGCGGCTGACTGGCGGGGAACAGGTGACGCTATCGACCGTCTGTCACGGGCGTGACAGCCGAGCTGACAAAGGGAGCGACCACCCTGCGCACCAGTCACTCTGAGGCTCGCGGCCGACTGGGTGGCAGAACTGGCAGCCATGATCGCGGTGGTAGCCTGGCTAGCGTTGCTAGCACTGGCGCCAGCCACGTCAGCAACCTCCTTCGCCGACAAGTAAGCTGGTGTTCATCTGGATGACAGGACAGACTTCTAACGGGCTTTGCTTTGTCTATTGTACAGTTGGCTGTTACAAACATCAACAGTGGCGTAGCCAGAAATCAGCGAAGGGGGGGGGGCATGGTGCTCGAGGGGCGACTTTTCCCTTGAGGGGCGTTCCACGACAAATCGACAAGTGCCCTGCACCCTCATATTTTATTTTTTGCTTAACCCTATAGGCCTGGCTACACTATGCGTTTTCTGCGTGCGTTTTTGCAGGTTTGCGTGTTTTGCGTAATATCGTTCTATAGGAAAAAAGTTATAAACTATATAATTTTTACTTTGGTTATATACAAAAGCTAATATAACTCTTATGTAACTAAAATTTAAGGTGAAAAACATCACAAAAACGTAATATCCTTCTTTTTTCTAGAACGATATCACGCAAAACACGCAAACACGCAAAAAACGCACGAAGAAAACGCATAGTGTAGCCAGGCCTTATTAGTGGCAGGGGGGGGGGGTTGTTTTTATCCACCCCTCAGGTTTTTCGGGAATATCTCCGAAACCGCTGTAGCTACGATGCTGAAATTTTCTGACTTTTCCTAAAACTAAATTGGGCACATTCCCTGAAAATTTCAAGTTCATAACTTTACCAGGGGCGGCTCCAGAGCACTGGGAATTGGGGGGTCCTATTCGTGAAGCGAGTCATTTGGGCGAAGATCACGATACTGCACCAGTTTTACGAACAGTGAATGAAAGGTATCATGTGATACATATACAAAGTTATTGTGCATCCTCCTTTGACACGTTTTTGCTATAATAGGCGGATCCAGGCGTCCAAAAAGGGGGTTATTTTTTACCTCCCAACATAGGTGCCCTGACACCGCCTATGCATGACCAATACAATTTTAGTCGTTCTCTCATGAGAAAATTGTAACATAACAAGACCATTGCCACCCTTTTTAGAAACAGTACCAACAAAAACCTTATTTACTATACTTTTTGTGTACCCCCAATCTCAATTATCTGTATCCGCCTATGATTTTTGAAAATGCATATTTTTAGGATCCCTGTGAATTCCTGGTTCATTCTCTATCAATCGGCAAAAGTTGCGTTAAGATTGGTTCAGAAACCTGGCCGTGATAAACAGTCTAAAATGTATCTGCAATTTGCCCGTTTTTACCCCCCCCCTCTACCCCCTATTGACATTTTTTAATTTTTTTTAGAAATGTAGATCTCGTTGAGCGAAATCGAATGCCTTTTGAATTTTGAAAATCGGCCCGTTAGATCTCGAGATATCAAGGGGGGGGGGGGTCGTAAACAGCCCCCCTGCCACTAATAGGGGGTAGCCAGGAGCATGCCACTAATAGGGTTAAAATTGGTCTAATGGGTTGTGATGGGCGGGGAAGCCAGCTGTCACAAGGATTTTTTTTGTTCGAACAACGGTTTCCGAGATATAGCCTCGGGCAATTCCTGGAGGTCGCGCTGCAGCCCTATGTTTGGCGGCCTATAACTCAGAAACTATTGGTTTTCTACGATAAAAACTTGATATGGTTCAACTCACAATTAACCAACAAACATATTGGCTATCTCGGATTTTCAATTTTTGAACATTTTGATCATGTGACCTTTTGACCTATTTTTCGAAGAGTGACCTTGATATTTTTCCCACTGAAAGTTGCAATTTTGTCTGATGACGATTAAAGCCTTATCAATTTTCATTCATATGCGATAATAAAAAAGTGGTTATCGCCCTGCGTTGACCTCAGGTCAGGTCATTTTTATGACCTGTCCATTATTACGAGCGGGAGCGTCAGCGAGATCTCGAGAACAAAGCAAGATAGTGACAAGCGGTAAACGGTACAGGGTACACACGGATAAGGTCTATAATTTTTACTGAGGTCATTTTCAGGTCAGGTCAAAGATGACGTCACAGGAGCAAAAATGAAGTCAAAATAGCGGCACTACATATAAATATGAAGTTTTTCTCGAATAACTTTCAAGGTATCCCAGCTAGGAACAAACTAATAGCACCATCGTGATCCTCTCGTCAATCCGCATCGAAACATATGTATGTTAACCTCGAAAGGTCGAAAGGTCAAAAGTTGACCTTAGGTCACGTGACCTAAGGTCAACTTTTCCGAGATACCGAGATCCGAGATACCTAAAATGTTTGTTGGTTGATTGTGAGTTGAATCATATAAAGTTTTTATGATAGAAAACCAATAGTTTCTGAGTTATAGGCCGCCAAACATAGGGTTGCAGCGTGACCTCCAGGAATTGCCCGAGGCTATATCTCGGAAACCGTTGTTCGAAGAAAAAATCCTTGCCACAGCTGGCTTCCCCGCCCATCACAAGCCCTTACACCAGTTTTCAACGAAAAATCAAATATGAGGGTGCAAATTTAATTTTTTATTTGTCGATTTGTCGTGGAACGCCCCTGAGAGGGGCTCCATTGTTAGCTAGTGATATAGGGGCGTTAGTCTAAAATGTAACGTCATGTTCATCCATGATTTACTAGGTGCTGCAAAATACGAAGTATATGAGCCAGGTTTCGCTGCTTTTTCATAAAATCCAGTTAATGCAATTTGCAGCCCGGTGTTTTTTACATATAAAAACCTTGATCTTGATGAATATTCAGCACGATATAGGAAACGATCTCAGGCTACAGATATTTTATTCTCAAAATACGCATCCATGCGCATTCGAAACGGTAAAATATACGTTGGTCGATAGGCATAATTTTTATTCTTTGTAAAAAAAAGATATACAGGTTCACTCACTGATCCAAAGTGACCTGTGAGCTGCAGCCTGTGGTCGACCTCGATGGCTGTGCTTGGAATCTCAGATCGCACGTATGTAGGATTCACGCTGCGACTAATTGTCTAAATTGAAATCAAGGAAAGATTTGGACATTTAAGACCATGAGATCCACCATGAGATCCCAACTCATTGTCATACCAGCAGCGACTGCAGTCAGAGGCGAGCGAACGCTGACATTCGTTCTGGATTTTTTTTTTCTCCACAAATCACCTTCACAATTCGATGTCTAGTGCGCGCAACCCCTACTTGTGGACATGCATGACTGCATGAGTGCCAGATGGGTGAGGCGTGAGACTGTCCCATATAGTGGCACGAAGCTCAAACGTCTTCGGCCGACGTATGTAGTACCTATAGAAGACGACCTTTGATGATGTGAGTGTGCATGATCGACTTTGAATAAACGGCATAGAAACCTGCCGATCTCAGCAAACATTCGCCTTGCGTAATCCCCAGGCCAAATATCTACATTGAGGACCAGGTCAATTTTGCGACCTCTCCATTACCTACAGGGTGACACAAAAAACGGTCATCACCAAATTTCAAATAACTTCGGAAGTTTTATTCAGATCATCACCAAACTTCGGCCACTTCAGGTCACACCTATGTAGCATACATCCACCAAGTTTCAAGTCTTCACTACGAATGCTTTTAGTGCAGTGTGTGTTTAACTGACGCTCCACAATGTGCTCCAGGTGAGCGCCACGGCGCTGCAGGGCGTAGGCACACTTGCATCCGGCGGGCAAAGTTGTCGATAACCCGATGGCTGTGCACTTTACAGAGTGCAATGGCCTCTGGAGACAGTGCTCAGGGGGTGTGCTACCCCTGAAACGTTATTCTTATCGGGTTATCGGCAACTTTGCCCGCCGGATGCAGGTGTGCCTACGCCCTGCAGCGCCGGGGCGCTCACCTGGAGCACATTGTGGAGCGTCCGTAAAACACACACTGTACTAAAAGTATTCGTAGTGAAGACTTGAAACTTGGTGGATGTCTGCTACATAGGTGTGACCTAAAGTGGCCGAAGTTTGGTGATGATCTGAATAAAACTTCCGAAGTTATTCGAATTTTGATGATGACCGCTTTTTTTGTGTCACCCTGTATTAGTGAGCCCGCGCCGTGCGGGTGGCCTGTGTTTTCCGTGTCGTGCTGGGGGAGAGGGGCGTTTTCACGTCCCCTCTAACTCGGTTCCTGGGCAACGTAGCGACACGTAGTAAGCGGCACTCGAAAGAGCGTCAAAAATAATGACGGAAACAAGTCGTTCAATTTTTAGGTTAGTTCAAAGATCAGGTCACCAGAGATCAGCAAAGGTCAAATTTTGACCATTTCAACAATTTTGGAAACTGCCAACGACTAACTCTGGAACCAATAGAGCTAGAGCGCCGCGGAAATCGCATTCGATAGCCCCTTTACAGACCTTTCTGATTATTGCTCTCAGATTTGACATCAAGTCAACGGTTTAGCCTCTAGAGGGCAAAAACTAAAAAAGAGCAGTTTTTATGAAAAGTGTTTTTTTCTGCAATAACGTTTGACTCGAGACAGTGACGACATTTATTTTGCCAGAATCGTGTTCCTCTCGCCGAGACGCGTGGAATGAGCTATACGTTGACCTTGAAGGGTCATTTTGACAATTTGACCTCAGGTCAAGGTCATGACCTGACCGGAAAGGGTCATGCTGCATATCAGTCGATCCGTATTGTCTGACGTATTTTCACCGCTCTAGCACGTCTCTATCAAAAGGTATAGCAAAAAAAAAACTGCTGGTGACCGTTCATGACCTGAGATGACCTCAGGGGCACACAGAAGGGTCACAGGTGCATTTTTACGATTCAGTGTGTTATGTTTACCTATGAACCAATGTTTGAGAGGGTTCTGAACGACATTCGTCCAAAAGAGGCGCATTTCAATTTTCTCCCATTGACTTATAATGGAGAGGTCGCAAAATTGCCCTGACCTTAGGTCACCGATATCAAAAGTCCGAGATAAACATTTTATACATTTTGTTAGTCTTACCAATCTCTAAAAGTTTCAAAAGTGATCAATCAGTCGGTGTAGCTATAGCGAGCCTTTAAACTTTTTCTGAGGTAAGGTCACTTGACGTGACCTGGTGACCTGACCTTGAACGACGGGTCTGAAAATTTCACAAGATGTGTGGAAAAGATGTATGAACAGGTGTGCCGAAAACGGTGGCGCTGTGCGACGCCGTTTTTGAGATATTTGCGAAAAACCTAGGGGGGAGGGGCCAGCACGGCGTGGGTTAATAGGAGAAATTTGAATGATCTTCTGAACGAAACACCCTCATACATCGGGATACAGGCAAATATGACACATTTAATCAGAAAATTTCACTCGTGATGTGACCACTTGGTGTTTCATTGCTCTACCATATGTCTCTATCAAAAGTTATTGTCCAAAAACTACTGGAGACCTTTTATGACCTGAGATGACCTCTGGAACATAATCCTAGATAACAGTTTTGTAGCACTGTCTTTTCTCTACATGACCATATAAAGAACTTTGAAATTGCTAAGTAACTGTAGCATTGGTGAGCGTTTCAAGATTTCATGTTTTTTGCTCATTTTTGCACGAACCTGGCCTCAGTTTGACCTCAATAACTCCTGAGCTAAGGTGATCTAAGACTTGAGATTTGGTGTGGAGGTGTCAAATTGATGCCCGGTAAGGTAATGAAAATTGGGTGGCGCTGCGCGCCACCGTTTTCTTGCTATTTAGGAAAAACCACGGGGGGGGGGGCCAATTGCCCCCCCAGCGGGGCGAGGGTAAATTGATAGACGTTGTGTGATCAGATGATTTGATGTTGTGAATCAAGAATATCATAGGCTAGTTGATATTCGATCTTGCGAGAAGTGGAGTTTTCGTTTCATGTCCTCACTCCGTACCGTGCTGATCACTGATCAGTATGCCCCTGCGATGGCCGAACTTCGACATTTTCCTTTGTTCCTCTCTCTCTCTCTCTCTCTCTCTCTCTCTCTCTCTCTCTCTCTCTCTCTCTCTCTCTCTCTCTCTCTCTCTCTCTCTCTCTCTCCTCTCTCTCCTCTCTCTCTCTCTCTCTCTCTCTCTCTCTCTCTCTCTCTCTCTCTCTTCTCTCTCTCTCTTCTCTCTCTCTCTCTTCTCTCTCTCTTCTCTCTCTCTCTCTCTCTCTCTCTCTCTCTCTATCTATCTATCTATCTATCTATCTATATATCTATTTTTCCCCTATCGTCGGGAATGCCAGGATAGTCTTGAATCTCAGTCCTGAGCCCATTGGCTCTTCTGTGCCTGAAGGGAATTGTATTAGCTACTGATGGGTGTTCCAAAATCTTCCGCAATACATAAACATAGCATTCAACGGTCATCGCACACCTATATGGAACGTGAACTGCATGGGTGGCTGATGTTGCTGCTGTTACCCAGCAGAGGGCAGTTCGCCTACGTCCTTTCCCGCGTGGTTTGTGTTGGGAGGGTTTCTGGAGAAAGTTTTCACAGAGAACATTTTAAGTGGAAATAAAAAAGGCAAAACTTGTTGAAAAGGCTTGCAATTTGGACACTTTGTAGGGTAGGTAATAAACAGCCTTATGTTTTTTTTCATTCCTCTAATAATTTTTATTCAGTATCAGTGTCTTTGAGCTGCGCTGCTCCGCCTGTCTGCAGAGGTTTTCTTCTCACGTGTCCGAAGTCGCTGATCGCCGGGACGAAGGAGAAATGCTGCGTATCGTTTTACCAGCTCGCACGCCAAACAGTGCGGCTAAATGTGCACCTACTGCCCAAGAAAAATAGTACAACGGCTGACAGCGTAGCAAAATACTACAAAGAAACATATATCAGAGGTAAGTTCCTTGCGCGGCTTATTTGCATACCTGACTGGATGTAAGGTACGAAATCCCGTTTCGTTGTGTTGTGCGATACTTTGTCCTTAGGTTTAAAGGGAGATTATGACCTTTTTCCACAAAATCTGAGTTAGGACCATTTTCTGACAAAACACAACAAGTTATAATGTAAATTAAAACCATTTTGCTCAATTCGGTACCTTGCCGCAAATATCTCAACTTGAAGTCACGTTAGCGGGGAGCGCTGAAAATGACCGTTGAATAAGTACTTACATCACTTTTTGGTACTTGCATGTAATTTTGTAAAATGAGCGTATTCATTACATTTGATCTTCATCACATCTAGTTAGTTAATGGTCGTCTATAGTGCCTTCAAAAGATATTCATGGTTTGGGGGTGGTTTATGTCTAAATTTACGCAACTATTTTTCCTGTTCATCATCTGTCGCCATATGCTGCTATTTTAGTAGCAACGACTCAATTTTGAATCGGTCCCGCCGACTGCACAATAAAAGAAGATAGATACAACACTTTTGCGGCATCACTGAAAAACTTATGCAGTACTGTTATCGAAATTCTCATAACACCGTTCGACAAACCTGAAGTCTTTTTGAAATAAATATGCTTGTATTTTTCGCTTCAGGCTCTGAGGCCAAAATAATGAATTTCGTAGTCGCAATCGCAAGATTTGGCTGCGTTTCTGGCGCTTGCCGTTCATTTGTGGCGCAAAATAATACTTGGAAACAAAGAAGAGTAGGCACTATGTACCCCCGAATTAGAATCTAATTAATTCTAAACCGAATTAACTCTAATTCAAATTAGAATCCTTACAACCAAGCAACGACAAGGCGATAACATAAACAAAAACCCAAGCGTCGCTGTTTGAAACAAAAGCGCCATATACTGCAACTTTTTTATAGAGAAGGACAACGCATTTCGGTGGGTGTTACAAGTACTGCAAGTTCTGCTTCTTTTTTGCAAAAATAAAACCTTTTTCACATACGAAAATGTGCTAGGAAATTTTCATATTTTTTAGAAACTACAGTAGAAATAGTATAGATGTCGAGTAATTTTTATTTAAGAAAAAAGAAATCTCATTATCTCCCTTTAAGCCTAATAGTTATTAAGCTCTGAGGACACAAGTGTGTTAGAATGTATTCTAAAATAGGTAAGATAATTAAGAATAACCTTCTAATTATGTTTTTAAAGCAAATGCTACTTTCCAGGGTGTCGAAAATAATCCCTACCTATTACTCTTCCACTTCAGTTCTCGCCAGTCAACATGCTTACCTATATTGCAAGGAAATGAAAGAAGAGTGAGAGACTTTGCATATATTACTGCAACCGTGTTGCAAGCATGATGAAGGCAGCGGTAAGCTATATTTGGTGCCACTAATGAGCGCTATGCTTTCAGGTGCCTCGGACTTTCGCTGTTTCTCCCTTTCCATTCCGAAGAAATCACGTTCCGGCACGCTCTACCTGAAGGTATCCGTTCAGGGATACTATTTCCAATCGACGAAAACATCTCCGGTAAGTAAGCTAAGTGGCTTGAACAACATAGGAAATAGGCATGATGTTCGTTTTTTTACTAAACAAAAAAAAGCAGATTGTTCTTTTGAGTAATGCGTAAACAACTGTATGTTAGTGCTTCGTAGGCATTCGCTTGAATAATATCTAATGGAGAGAGGGCGTTCAGTCGGTGCAACGCTTAGATTTGGCTTAACCCGGCAGGCGGTGGGCCTACCAGCCACCTTCTGCGCGGTGGGGGGGGGGGGGGCACTTTTTGCCCCCCCCCGTATCTCCGAAACTACTCCGAAGCATTTTGTCGAAAATCAGCGATAAGGCGTCAGTTGTCTAGTACATATGTTGCTATTAGAGGTCACTGGTCATACCAGGTCAGGTCACAGGTCAGGCCACCAAAGGTCACCAAGGGTCACCACATGAGCCCAACTTTACTAAGGTTATGCGATGCATGTTTTATGGCCAGTTTTTCATTTCCAACTCAATGGTGTTGATTGTAAGACCATCAGGTACGGTTTAGGTCACTTTCTGGTGGAGGTCAGGTCAAGGTCAGGTCAAAAAAGGTCAAATTTCAAAGTTGATATTTTGCATAAAATGGGTATCGCTTCGATGCAGCTCGTCACGGGGAGTCTAATGGTGGTCTTTGTTTTGCGCTACGAGGTCTAGAATTGCTAAAAATTGAGTTTGAAAATTTGACGTCATCAATTTTGAACAGTTTTTTTTTCGCTATAGCTTGGCCAAAAAAAGAGGTATCGATCTCAAATTTGGTATGCAGATAGAAGGCGGTAGGGGCTATCACATATATTCCGTTTTTTCGAAATTCAAAAAACTTTTTGGATTTTTTGGCTATTATATTCAAAAAATCTATTTTTTGATTTTTGGGGGTCAAAATCCAACAAATTCGTAAAACCGAAATAACAGTTTTGTAGCCCTTTTAATTCCACACCTTTTATGTCTGAAATATTTTTCTGTATCTCTAAAGCTGTAGGCCTGACAGCTCTTCCCGCGAAACCTTTTTTGGGTCGAAAATGGCAAAAATGACGTCACTCTGACGTCATTAGCGGCCAACCTATCATAGCCTTTGGAAAAATTTTTGGTCACCATGTGCGCTAGCTGCTCCCGGGAGGGTACTGAAAGTTTGGTGACGATCGGCGCAGCGGTTCTCGAGATTTATCGAAAAAACTAAAGGGGGGGGGGCAAAAAAATGCCCCCCCCCCACCGCCTGGAAGGTTAATATATCATTCATATATTATTTCAAAACAGTCTCTCCCGTAGCTCAATTGGTAGAGCATGACTCCCAGTAGTGAGGGCCCGGGTTCGAGTCGCTCCGGCGCTCTATATTTGAGACTCCTGATCGGGGATTGTTAGCGGTTTATGGCAGCAGCCGCAACCAGCTGAAGTCTGTTGAGTGGGACAGGCCATGTCCGACTTAGAAGTGCACGTTAAACTTTGGCATCTAAATTATTCCGTTACCCAGCATTGCGTGATCGGATGGTAGGGGTCGGGGTCTACGCAGCAAGATCTGCTTAGCGTATAGGCTCCGGCTCCGTCAATCCGTTCATTCAAACATTGGAGCTAAAGTTATATATGCTACATATATCCAAAAATATTGACGTGTTGCTTTGTGTTTTCTGTTATATGTTTTCGATTTTGCGTTCTGCGTCTTTTTAGGTTCCTCGTTTGAGTTTATAGCAATTGTACAAAATACATGCATACCGGCAGTGAGCCCGTTGCAGCCCCTGACGCAGACCTCCGCTGCGGTGAAGTGCGGGCCGATCACTTTCGGTCATCGGAATGGTGTTGGGCGTGTTCCCAGGTCAATGTGGTGCCCTACACACTGGTGACACTGGTGCAGACGGACAAGTCCAAGTACAAGGCTGGCCAGGAGGTGCTGTTCCGCGTGGTGACGCTGAAGAGCGATCTTACCGCCCAGGAGGAGACGGTGAGACAGCAGCGCACATCACGAGCTGTTTGTGTCCAAACTGACCAAAGGAATGACCGGCGCATGCGGTCTCATTCAAAAGTGACCGCACGCGAATCACTCAGAGATGACTTGCTCATAATTAGTGAAGTTAAGGTTTGAGTCTGTTGAATAATGACTTATTCACAGTTCACTGTCGATTATTGCAAACAAAGAAGCTGCAAAGCAGCATGATAAACAAATAAGATACTCATAATGATGAATGAAAGCGAGACTTCTCCGGAAAAACGCAAACGTGGTAGAAATGTGCTAAGCATCTGTGCTGTGGCCTGCCGAGCTCGCCAGGTCACCTGTTCACTACCATTTGGTATTATTTCTCGTCTCATTGGTTCTACAGGTCGATCAGATCTACATCACAACTCCCGCCGGCACCCGGCTGGCGCAATGGAACCAGAAAACCACCAGCTCGGGCATCATAGCCCTGTCATTTAAACTGACACAGGAGCCACCTCTGGTGAGTCACACCGACACGGGAGCCACCTCTATTGAGTCAAACTGGCACAGGAGCTACCTTTATTGAGTCAAAACAGCTTGGAAACCACCTTTATTGAGTCAATCTGACACGAGAGCCACCTTTATTTAGTCAAACTGACACGGGAGCCACATTCATGGAGTCAAGCTGACATGGGAGCAGCCAGCACGGCCTATATGACCGTGACCTCACGCTGACCTCTGGGCTGACCTCTGCCGCAGGGCATGTGGACGATACACGTGAAGCGTGGAGATCGTATCACAAAGCAGACATTTGAAGTGGACGAGTTTGTCCTGCCTCGGTTCGAAGTCACCGTCACTGGACCCAAGTTTATTGTCCGAGATGCCAACACTGTTACTCTCAAAGTTTGTGCCAAGTAAGTTGAGTGTTGTTACGAGCGAGCGAGCGCAGCGAGCGAAGTGAGTCTTTTCAATATAACGGAAAAATCTCAGTATGAGCGGCCCGGCCCGGCCCGGCCCGGCCCGGCCCGGCCTGTAACGCTTTTGAGAGGCTTATATCTCAGCAACCGCTGGACCGATTGGCCTGCGGTCTTTTTTGTTGGGTAGCCCCATCCCTTCTACCCCGTAATTGACTACTTTTGATACATCTCAGTGACCGTCGTGGCACGTGCCACGTGAAAAGTCAAGGGTGTTCAAGCTGTTTTGCAAAAGTAGTGATATTGAGAGGCTCATATCTCAGCAGCCGCTTGGGCGATTGACTTGCGGTAATTTTTGTAGGGTAGCAGCATCCCTTCTACCCAAAATAGGATACTCTCGATGTATGTGGGTCACCCCCAGTGCACGTGCAAAATACAACAATAAGAGGTGCCAAATTTGTTCCCATTTCAGTAACTCGGTAATTACTGGGGTGATTTAGCTGAAACTTGGCATACAGGTAGGCACCCACCAGGCAATGCATTCCCATGTGTTGCGGTTAGGGTGCTACTGCACGTGCGCACGTGCAGGGGGCGTTTCCAGATCTCGAGAACGGCTGGGCCGATTGCGCTCAAATTTGGTACACGGTTGGGGACCAGTTAGTAGGGTGCCGTGCAAAAGTCATTTTGGACCCCGTTTGCACGTGCGCACGTGCAGAGTGCCGCTTCCAGATCTCAGGAACGGCTGGGCCGATTGCGTTCAAATTTGGCACACCGCTAGCGACCGGTTAGAAGGGTGCTTTGCACAAGCCCGTTGGAAGCACCCTCTCGCCCTTCCGCACGTGCAGGGCTCACTATCTCGCTCGCTCGTTCTTCGCCCAAAAGGCGTTTTACTGGTGTTTAAGATATGTATGTACAGCCCTCTGCATACTGCGTGCTAGGTATTCTTTTTCGACAAATTCGACAATAATTCGAATAATATGCTATCGGTCACTCTGAAATCGTAACAGCAAGACGCGCGAGGCTCCGTACCTTAGATTTGGATTATCATTACGAGCGAGCGAGCGCAGCGAGCGAAGCGAAGTCTTTTCAATATAAGGGAAAAATCTCAGTATGAGCGGCCCGGCCCGGCCTGTAACGCTTTTGAGAGGCTTATATCTCAGCAACCGCTGGACCGATTGGCCTGCGGTCTTTTTTGCTGGGTAGCCCCATTCCTTCTACCCCGTAATTGACTACTTTTGATACATCTCAGTGACCGTCGTGGCACGTGCCACGTGAAAAGCCAAGGGTGTTCAAGCTGTTTTGCAAAAGCAGTGATTTTGAGAGGCTCATATCTCAGCAACCGCTTGGGCTTGGGTCTTGCGGTAATTTTTGTAGGGTAGCTGCATCCCTTCTACCAAAGGTCGGCTACTCTTGATCTATGTGAGTGACCCCCACTGCACGTGCAAAATACAAAAAGAAGAGGTGCCAAATTTGTTCCCATTTCAATAACTCGGTAATTACTGGGGCGATTTCGCTGAAACTTGGCATACAGGTAGGCACCCACCAGGCAATGCATTCCCATGTGTTGCGGTCGGTGTGCTACTGCACGTGCGCACGTGCAGGGGGCGCTTCCAGATCTCGAGAACGGCTGGGCCGATTGCGCTTAAATTTGGTACACGGTTGGGGACCGGTTAGTAGGGTGCCGTGCAAAAGTCAGTTTGGACCCCGCTTGCACGTGCGCACGTGCAGAATGCCGCTTCCAGATCTCAGGAACGGCTGGGCCGATTGCGTTCAAATTTGGCACACCGCTAGCGACCGGTTAGAAGGGTGCTTTGCATAAGCCCGTTGGAAGTACTCTCTCGTCCTTGCGCACGTGCAGGGCTCACTATCTCGCTCGCTCGTTCTTCGCCCAAAAGGCGTTTTACTGGTGGTATACATTTTACTTCCAGTTTGGCAACAATACATAAAAAACTGTATATACTTGCCCCCCAAAAAACTTTTGCTTTTTGCTGCCATAATAGGCGCATACTTTGTTCAGTGATGGACCCAATCGAAGGAGTGGGGCATTGCGCATCTATGCAAGGCCATATATAGGCATCAATGTGCAATCAGATTTCTGACTAACTGATAATATAGCCTTTGAGGTAACTATTATCGGTTTTGTCGAAAAACCAATACCTACCACGCAGTGTGCTGAGGGCTGTACGTACTTTGTTACGGAGCGAGCGAAGCGAGCGTAGTCTTTTCCATATAACGGGAAAATCTCAGTATGAGCGGCCTGGCCCGGCCGGCGGCCTGTAAAGGCCTGGCTACACTATGCGTTTTCTGCGTGCGTTTTTCGCGTGTTTGCGGGTTTTGCGTAATATCGTTCTAGAAAAAAGGTTATTATTAATTAAACTTCTTTAATATTTATATAAAAGTTAATAAAACGTTTATGTTAATTAAAAGTTTATATGAAAAACAAATAACAAAAACGTAATGTCGTTTCTTTTTAGAACGATATTCCGCAAATCACGCAAACTCGCAAAAAACGCACGCAGAAAACGCATAGTGTAGCCACTGCATTACGCTTTTGCGAGGCTTATATCGTAGCAACCACTTGACCGATTAACATGCGGTAATTTTTGTAGGGTAGCTTCATTTCACGGTTGAACCGATTGCGCTGAAACTTGATGCATAGTCAAGGACTGGTTAGAAGTGTGCCGTGCAAAAGTCAGTTAGGACCCATTTTGCACGTGCGCGCGCACGTGCAGGGTGCCGCTTTCAGATCTCGAGAACGGCTAGGCCGATTGCGCTCAAATTTGGCACATTGCTAGAGACCGGTTAGAAGGGTGCCGTGCACAAGTCAGTTGGAGATACCCCTCACGATTTCGCACGTGCAAGGCTCACCCTCTCGCTCGCTCCGTTTGTCGCCCTCAGGCGTTTTACTGGTACTTACGAATGTCCAATGAGCTAATAGATGAGGTAGCTAGAGCTGAGAAAGCCAAGCTTGTACTTTTTATGTGTCAGGTCACAGATAACAGTAGTACTACTGTTATCTGTGGTCAGGTCTAGGCTAGGTCAGGCTACGTAGTTCTCGGAAATTGTGAATTATGAATGGGCCATGTGGCACATGTTTTATGGTTCATTTTGGCCACATATATCTTAATTAGTGTCGTCTGTGCCTTCCGAAGCCACGTTCAGCTGAATATAGCGAAGGTTAGGTTACCATCAAGACAGAAAAGGCCAAACTTTAAAGTTGAAACTTTTGAACAAAAAAGTTTCTATCAGATAGGTACAGTTTGAGCACAGGAACACGAAGGTGCTATTGGGTGTGCGATGTCTAAACCGTACTGAAAATTGAATTAATTTTAATGCTTGATAAAGATGGAAAATTAAGGTATAATGTAAAAATGGATGACTTGGCTATTTTTGAAGATATCGGGCTTAAGCTTTCTTGGGTAGATCATCGGCATATGTTATATCACATATGCTCCGATTGTTTTCCCCGGTTGGATAGAAATAACGAAATAGGCTGCGACTCGCAAGTTGCTTCCATTTTTGCACGTGACTCACAGCATGCGAACATGAAAAAACATGGCAGGCATATCTCAAGCATATCTGTTCGAAATCCAAAAAGTGCAGTGTGCAGTAGCGGCGGAACACCTTCAATTAAGGGGGGTGGGGCACTGACGACTTTTGGTCCCATTATTTCCATGCAATGCCCATAGGGCTAATGTTAAAATGCCAAAATCAAAGGGAGGGGGCACGGTTCCCCGGTGCCCTGCCCGTTCCGCCGCCTATTGCCCAGTGCCCAGGTATTGAGTTATATAATATAATGCCGGGTTACCAGTCAACAATAGCTGCCCAGAGCTGTCTGTATGATGCGTCGAACTGTTGTCAGGTACACCTTTGGAGAGCCAGTTTCGTCGGCCGACGTTGTGCTGTTGGCCAAACGCACAGTTCCTTCCTACTTCTACTCACGAAACAGATACGGAGAGCTGGACCGACGAGGAGAGACGCCATCTAACATAACGCTAGAGGACACGGTAAGCTAGCTCAGCAACTCTGTGTGCTCTGGAGCCCGCGCTCTAAGGTTCATTGCAGCACCTGTTCTGTTCTCCTTTCTTAAATTCACCTGCAGATGATCGCTCTTATTTATTTTTATTTTATTAATTAATAAGAGTTACTGAGTTACTTTTTACTTTTACAGTTAAAAGTTACTTTTTTTGTTACTGACGTTAGGAGTGAATAACTTGGGTACAACTACCAAAATAGTTAAGCACTCGAAACTTATCAATAGAACTTAGTGTAAATAATACAGACTAACGCATTTGGTACGGTGGAATTATGCTTGACAACACTGCAATCGAGCCTCTTTTTTCTAGCAGCGGGCTCTAGGGATTGATCTTGTTGCCGGGAGGGTCCCGGCTTTGAACATTTTATACGGCTCAATAGGTATACTTTATCATGGACTGCTTACTGTGTTACTAACTACTGTGTCTACTGATATAGAGTAGTCTATGACCTACCTATAGTTAATGATGTGGAGTGGATCAAGGAAGAAATGGTAGATAGTACCCATTTTCACGACGGGCTATCGGGCGAATGCAACTAATTTGACTAAATCTGCACCTAATATTGCCGGTCCCGTACCTCAGTTGGTAGAGCGTTGGACTCCGCGTGGTGAGAGCACGCGTTCCCGGTTACAACAGTCCGGGTTCGAAGCGCGACGGGCGCTTGACATTTATGGGCCTCCTGACAGGTATGGTTGCGGTTGGTGGCAGGCCGTAGCCAGGTGAAGTCAGTGAGGGGACCGGCCGTGCGTGGCTATGTGCGCACGTTAAACTTTGGACTCTAAATTCTGCCATAGAACTGGAATTGGCGATCGGAGGGTAGAGGGCAGGGTCACCGCAACAAGCTTCGCTTAGCGGTGGCTTTGTCCTTGTGAATCCTTCCCATCAAAAGGTTCGGCCTAAATTTATAAAAAAAAAATGCAACAAATGTGCATTAGATGTGTACCAGATGGCCGTCGTGAAAACGGCTACTGAATGCTCTGATAAAAAGCTATTGGTTATTTCTGTTTAATTTGTCGACAATAAAAAAATCCAAATAACGCTGACAAGTAGGAAGAATCAAGAAATAGCCTTTTGCTCAGAATTAAAGTTAACCCGCGCCCAGTTTGGGGTCTGCCGAGCAGCGCGCCCGTTAGGGGGGGGGGGGTATTTTGGCCCCCACCTAAGATATCGAGAACCACGCAACATAGCGACAAACAGCAAACGGTGTTAGATAGTCCCAACAGGGATTATCTACTTTTTGATCCAATTTCATTGACCTCGGTCAAACCAATGACGTCACAGGTCAGGTCAAAGGCCGAATTTTCACCGTTTACAGTCATTTCAAGAAATGTGTTGTAAAATCAAGTAAAATGCATGTCATTGAAAATCATTGATGGCGAATTGTTCTTCAAACACATATTTTGCTATTTCAAGGTCACTGATACCAGGTCAGGTCACAGAGGTCAATTCACTGAGGGTAACAATATGAAAATATCATGTGATGTATGTTTCATGGTCCATTTTACATGACAAATGTGATTATGTGGGTCAGGCAGCCTTTGGGGCCAGTGTATGTTATGCTCTGCTCTGGTTAAGGTCAGGTCAAACTAGGTCAAATTTTAAACTTAATATTTTTGCATAAAATGGGTATCAGTTCGATGCAGCTTGTTACACGCGGTGTCTAATGGTGGTCTTTGTTTTGCGCTATGTGGTCTAGATGGCTAAAAATTGAGTTCAAAAATTTGACGTCTTGAATTTTGAACAGTTTTTCCCTATAACATGGTCAAAAAGGAGGTATCGATCTAAAATTCGGTATGCAGATAGATGAGTGCAGGTACTATCATCTATATTCTGTTTTTTCGAAATTCGAAAAACTTTCGGGGTTTGTTTTGCTTTTTTATATTTTTTTATTTTTTCGTGGTAAAATCACAGAATTTTGAAAATCAGAGATCGCAGTCTTGTAGCGCCGTCTTTTTTTCTACACGACCACATAAAGAACTTTGAAATTTATTGTTAACTGTAGCTTTTGTGCGCGTTTCAAAAATTGTTTTTTGCTCAATTTTTGCTCGAACATGACCTCAGTTTGACCTCAATAACTCCTGACTTAAAGTGACCTAAGACTTGAAAATTTGTGTGAAGGTGTCAAATTGATGCCCGGTAAGGTACCGAAAATTAGATGGCGCTGCGCGTAGCGGTTTTCTTGATATTAAGGGAGAACCACAGGGGGCATGTTGTCCCCCCCCGGCGGGGCGAGAGTTAACCGAATTACATGAGCAAAAGGGTATCATTTCTTCTCGTGACACTCATATTCATAGCAACGCCCAAAATAACGTTTCAAGCCATCAAGTTAAAAATGGTTTATATTTTGCACAGGGCTGCGGAGTCGATGGATTTTCGGCGACTCCGACTCCGACTCCGACTCCGGCTTTCAAAAACCAGCTCCGACTCCGACTCCGACTCCGGGCAGAATTGTCGACTCCGACCGACTCCAACTCCCGACTCCGACTCCGCAGACCTAGCAGGGCTGCGGAGTCGACAGATTTTCGGTGACTCCGACTCCGACTCCGGCTCGGGTTTCTAAAATCGACTCCGACTCCGACTCCGACTCCGGTCACAACTGTCGACTCCGACCGACTCCGACTCCGACTCCGACTCCGACTCCGCAGCCCTGATTTTGCACGTTTTCAGTTGTCTCACCTAAAAGAGTATTACTTTTTTGGCAGAGTGACTCGAAGGGCTGCGCAGAATTTGACGTTCTTTTGTCGAAAATCGGAGTCGGCAGAACATTCAGAAACCGCGGAATCTACGTAAACCAGGCAAGTGTTCTTCGTCACTACCCATTCAACTCTGAACTCTGAAGGCTGCTTCCCATGAAGCAATAACTTCATGCCTCTGTATGTAGTGCCCGCATCTCTATAGCTGGCTGGTGCTGTACCCAATTTGTTCAGTGTTGATACGAGTGAGCACCTCCGCCAGGCGGTGCGGCGGCCTGTGGTGACGTGCTGCTCTGTGTCCCTCCCACTGTCAGGTGATTATCCAGGCCAACGTGACGGAGGCGGGCACGGGCCTGGTGCTGGGCTCCGACCTTGTCATACCCATCCAGACACCGCGCATCAGCGTCGAAATCGACGAGCGGCCCGGCACCAAGTTCATCAAGCCCGGTCTGGAATACATTGGATTTGTAAGTGCATATTATGATAGCTTATTCATCACTCACATTGTGATGAATGTGCCTAAGGGGTGAAACAGACTCGTTCCGCATTCAGGAAATCGCATGCAAGAACCTATTCAAATACGTTATAATTCTTCCCGCATCAATCGCATGCGGGAGGTGCGTGCGATTGATGGGAGCGTGCTTCCATGTATTTGAATAAGCTCTCGCATGCGATTCCCTGGCTGCGGAAAGAGTCTGTTTCAGGCTTAACCGTATTCCTGGCGGGGGGGGGGCCTCAGGAGCCCCCCTAAGGTTTTTTGGTTATTTCTCCCAAACGCGTTGAGCTAGGAAGCTCAAATTTTCTGACTTTTCCTATAAGGCTTCTACGCAACATGTCTGAAAATTTTGAGTTGATCTGACCTCAGGTCAGGTCACCAGAGGCGGTTTGGTGACCCTACCTCAGAAAAGTTTGCAATCACGCCAGAGCTAGAGTTTTTGACCGATCAATTTCTTCTCTTCAGGCTTTTGTTAGGGTACCAGTATGTGCAATTTGTATATCTCGGAATTTTGATATCGGTGACCTAAAGTCAGGTCAGTTTCGCGACCTCCCAAAAATCAACTCCCTGTTTTTACCACTAAAACGGGTCGGAATGGCCCCATATACCATACATGACTTCATATACGATCAACCTTCACTACCTTGAGGTCTGTTTTGCTGTTGGGCAGCTGTGAGGTCATGTGACGTCATCAAAGGTCACCAAAGGTTTTTGGCCAATAACTCCGTACAGGAACAAGATACAGACGCGTGGATGGTCTCATTGTGTTCAGCTCGTCAAGACGCATCGAATGATATACATGATGACCTCGAGCTCACGTGACCTGAGGTCAACCTTTGACCTTGACCTTTCGAGGTCAACATATATATCATTCGATGCGGATTGACGAGAGGATCACGATGATGCCCTTAGTTTGTTCCTATCTTGACTAATTCGAAAGTTATTCGAGAAAAACTCTCTCCATATCTAACGCCGCCATTTTGACTTTTTCGACCCCTGTGACGTCATCTTTGACCTGACCTGAAAATGACCTTAGTAAAAATTGTAGACCTTGTCCATGCGTATCCGATGCCGTTTACCGCTTGTCGCTATCTTGCTTCGTTCTCGAGATCTCAGGGGGGGGCCGAATCGGCCCCCCTCCCCGCCAGTTTCTTGTCCCGGCGGAGCCCGCCAGGAATAGGGTTAAGAAGGGCTAAGAAAATGTGAACGTGAATTCAGCGGGTGCGACAGTCTGTGGTGCGATTGTGGTATAGGTATTTGCGTAGTCAAGTAGAGCAGACTGTGGAGTGGAGTGGAGCAGACTGTGGAGTATTTTGAAGTCCTGTTAGTAGAAAAGCACAATTCTAACGAATAGTGTTTGTATTGCAGGTGTTGTCTTTCCCTGTTGCCTTTGTCGTGTACTGCACTGCAAGCAACATAGCTTCTGACACCATTCATTGCAGGTCACAGTGAAGGGAGCGGATGGCGACCCGCTCTCCGATGAGACCCTGCAAGTTTGTCACACGGAGTCCTTCATTGACCAAGGAGCGATCAAGCCGATCAAAAAGTCGGAAAATCCGTTTATAGCATACCCGTCGTAAGTAGCATTGAAAGTGAGGACATCCGTTCCCATTTAACCAATCTAGTCATCCGTGATCGTAAAATTGGCTCATATCTTTTTCGCTGTTGTTGTTGTAATCCAGCTTTTGTGTGTGGGATTTATTGCGACGGGTTCCGAACGAAATATCAAATATCGAAAAAGTAAAGCACGAGTCGCAGCATATAGTACTGTATGACCTGGTTTGGCAATGGAACTGTCATTAAAATTTTGCAGCAGCATGCCATTTGGTTTCCGGTTTGGTCAATATACTTTGACAGTGAACAAATGACCTGGTCTGAAACTTTTCAAGTGTTCAGTAAGTATGGAATTAGCTGCCAGCGTCGAAGATATCTTTGGCTTTGAGGATATAATTCATGCCGTATAATGTTTTTTGTCGTATTTGGTAGAACATTTTTTCATCATAATCTTTGTATGTCTTGCTAAATCCAGTGCAAACACATTAACAAAAATGAATATTTGTGAAAAACAGTTACCAGACAGCCAGCAGAGGAGTCAAGCTGGTGAACAAGGACTTCAACAAGCTTCCAATCATTTATCCTGCAATACCATCCAAGACAGACCAAGAATCATGCAATGAGTACAAGAGCAACAAGGACGGTCGCATTCGGTTCCGCATTGCGCCCCAGTCTGCCGGTATCATCTCCAGCAACGTCAATGTGAGTAGACCGGCTGTGGGACCCCACTCAGACCGGCTGTGGGACCCCGCTCAGACCGGCTGTGGGACCTTACTCAGACCGGCTGTGGGACCCCACTCAGACCGGCTGTGGGACCCCGCTCAGACCGGATGGGGCCCGCACCGGCTGTGGGCCCGAGTAGACCGGCTGTGGGTCCGCTCAGACCGGCTGTGGGCCCGAGTAGACCGGCTGTGGGTCCGCTCAGACCGGCTGTGGGACCCCGCTCATACCGGCTGTGGGTCCGCTCAGACCGGCTGTGGGTCCGCTCAGACCGGATGTGGGACCCCAATCAGACCGGCTGTGGGCCCGAGTAGACCCGTTGTGGGACCCTGCTCAGACCGGCTGTGGGACCCCGCTCAGACCGGCTGTGGGACCGCTCAGACCGGCTGTGGTGGCCCGCTTCCAGTCACAGCGGGCCACTATTTCACATCGGATGACCCGTGCGCTCAAACATGAGCGCCCGGGCAAACGTGCGCACGGAATCTCGAGTCCAAAAGCATGTCTTCAGTAATTAAAGACATGATTTTGACAATGAGCCGTCCGAATGTATGCAGCCTCGGATGAGACATTAACGACTGTTCCATTCTGCAGGTGCGGACTCGTCGGTCCGGCCTGTCCGGGAGCGACTACGTGTCGCTCAAGGGATGGTTCTCTCTGACCGACTCGTACATTTCGATCGTGCCCGTGAGGGACCCATACGGTCTGAAGTGTGAGGGTAGCCTCCGACTCACCGTTAAGTCGAACATCAAAGTGCCGCAAATGACGTATTTGGTAAGTGACTCCAAGTGCCCTTAGCTCCTTGCGTTTTGTCTTTTTGTGTCTTCAAGCTTACTCTGTTTCTGTGATTGAATTGACGAAACCTATAGGCTGCACGCCTTGCATAAAACCGTACCTACTGGTGTTTGGACTTTGGTTACCTGTTTGGGTACGGCATTAAGTGTAAGTAACCACGGATTAACCAGGGCCCAATCTTACCAATGCCGTAAATAGGATTTGGCAGCACTGGCCGGAGTTTAGGCACTGATATCAAATATATCCTTTTTATTTACACCCAGCTTATCTTGTCCAATGATTTTGATAGCGTTAATGATCATGAATGTTGCCTAAACGAATGGATAAGTTAATGTGGAATAGTTCTGAATGTTACCAAATGCCGTGAATGCGCATTCACGGCATTTGGTAAGATTGGGCCCAGGATATGTACGTACCTGCTACGCGCTGATAGTGCAATCTGTTTACATGATCAGTAATCGTACGCTAACCATCCTAGACCGTCATCGGGTACGTTATGTCACTCTCGTCGTGTTTTGTGTAGCATGTTCATTTTCAGTTAGGTCATCCCATATTCCAATAAATATCTGATAATGCCGCCTAACTGACCATTTCCTCCGCCGCGCAGGTCATGACCCGAGGTCAGATTCATACCTCTGGTAAGGTGGCACGCGACGGATCCATCGAAATCAAGCTGAATTTCAGAGTGTCGCCTTCTTTCAAAGTGCTCGTCTACTACGTCAACGGCCTGGGTGAAACAATCGCCGATTCAAAGACGTACAGCGTCGCTAACTGCTTCCAAAACCAAGTACGGGAGCATAGAGGGGTTCCGGACAAAATATCGGAAAGCAAAATATCGAATAGCAAAATATTGAAGACAAATTATCGAAGTGGCAGAATATCGAAAGCAAAATATCGAATGCGCAAAATAACGAAATCGCAAAATATCGAACCGCAAAATATCGACATTGCAAAATATTGACATCGCAAAATATCGAATTGCATAATATCGAATTGCAAAATATCGAACTCGCAAAATATTGAATAGCATAATATCGAAAGCAAAATATCGAAACGTGAAATATCGAAAGACAAAATATTGAAAGACAAAATATCGAAAGACAAAACATCGAAAGACAAAATATCGAAAGACAAAATATCGAAAAGGCAAAATATCGAACGCAGAATATCGAAAAGACAAAAAATCGAACGCAAAATATCGAAAAGACAAAATATCGAAAGACAAAATATCGAGAAGGCAAAATATGGAACGCAGAATATCGAAAAGACAAAATATCGAACGCAAAATATCGAAAAGACAAAATATCGAACGCAAAATATCGAACAGACAAAATATCGAACGCAAAATATCGGAAAGGCAGAATATCGAACGCAGACTATCGAAAAGGCAAAATATCGAACGCAAAATATCGAAATGACAAAATAACGAACGCAAAGCGTCGAAAAGGTAAAATATCGACTTGAAATGGCCCTCTGCGGACTCCTTAGAGCTCTATCGAACTCTGTCAAAATTAACGGTTTCGCTCGACAGATCTTCCGGGGCTATCAAACTTAGGCAGATCCAATCCAGAGTTTTGGGAGGGGCAAACCATCACAATTTAGGTATTGTTTCTTTTCATGCACTGCCATAGACGTAATGTTAAAAATGATGTCCTTTGTGGAGGGCAATTACCCTATTTGCCCTACCCTGGATCCGCCACTGCTAGCAAACACCGTTTGAGTTTTGAAAATCGGTCCAGTAGCTTCGGAGATAGGAGGGCGGGGGGGCTCCAAATAGCCCCCCCCCCCAGTCAGTTGTGTTATGGAATATACGCTCCAGGGGCCTACCTGCCTCTAAGACCCCACACATACAGCGTACACACACACATACTGGCTCTTTAGGCTAAACATCGGCTCCTGGTGGCCATCCCAGCTTTGGAGGGTCTCCATACAGGCTTTTTTGGGTCCGATGCCAGTCTCTGAGAGCCATCAAAAGCCTTTCGAGCCTACGAGTATACTGCTTTCTGAAACCCTTCAGCAACTTCTGAGGGACCGACCTGGTCGGAGGGCTCATTCGGTCTGGGGAGTCATGTAGGTCTCTGGAGGAGCCTCTAAGGGGTCGGTATCCAAGGGGTTTTTAAACACGGTCTTCTAAGAACGGTCTCGTAGGGCCCTTAATGGTCCACTGCGGATCCAGAAAAGTGGGTTGAGATGCTGAGGGTGGTGGCTAGACTAAAACAAGATAAGATGATAAAAACTAGCTGCATTTGCTTCGTTATGCTTTATTTGAGATAGGTACACTGTAATTTCAAATATTTTGCAGAACTTGTGTGTTTGAGGATAGTTTTCCAAAATCTTCGTTTTTCATAAAGCAATAATAATCACTCTAAAAAATATCGGGGGGGGGGGGGGGCGAAACTTCCAGAGGGGCCCCTTGAGAAAACTTTGCACCCCATCCGAAATTACCTTCCGCCGCCACTGCTGAGATCTACAAAAAATATCAGAGTTTTCCTAGTCTGTCATGGACCCGCTGATTGCTCTTTGAGGCCTACATATAACGGAGGGCCCAATGAGTTCGACAGAGCTCTAAGGAGTCTGCAGAGGGCCATTTCAAGTCGATATTTTACCTTTTCGACACTTTGCGTTCGTTATTTTGTCTTTCCGACATTTTGCGTTCGATATTTTGCGTTTTCGATATTTGCGTTCGATTTTTTGCCTTTTCGATATTTTGCGTTAGATACCTATTTTGTCTGTTCGATATTTTGCGTTCGATATTTTGCCTTTTCGATATTCTGCGTTCGATATTCTGCCTTTTCGATATTTTGCGTTCGATATTTTGCGTTCGATATTCTGCGTTCGATATTTTGCCTTTTCGATATTTTGTCTTTCGATATTTTGTCTTTCAATGTTTTGTCTTTCGATATTTTGTCTTTCGATATTTTGTCTTTCAATATTTTGTCTTTCGATATTTTGTCTTTCGATATTTTGTCTTTCGATATTTTGTCTTTCGATATTTTGTCTTTCGATATGTTGCGTTTCGATATTTTGCGTTTCGATAGTTTGCGTTTCGATATTTTGCTTTCGATATTATGCTATTCGATATTTTGCGATTTCGATATTTTTCAATTCGATATTTTGCGATTCGATATTTTGCGATTTCGATATTTTGCGATTTCGATATTTTGCAATTCGATATTTTGCGATTTCGATATTTTGCAATTTCGATAATTTGCGGCTTCGATATTTTGCTTTCGATAATTTGCGTTCGATATTTTGCGCTTCGATATTTTGCGTTTCGATATTTTGTCATGAAGCAGCATAGAGCTACGTCACTTAGATTTCGTTGAAAATGAACGCGTGGATAGTAGACATATTTTGATATAGACGCTCAAGTCATCCAAATATATACACTGAGAAAAAAGTTTCTCCATTTCCGGTCTCAGAGACCAGTTTTCGGGCTAATGTCCGCTATTCATTATTCAAAACTGACCACACATTTTGAGAATACTTTCTGAGCAACGCCATTGATCGCAGAAACAGATCTCAGTCAGTACCCATTATCGGTGTCAAGTTTTTAAAATTAATCTCACTATGAAACCAGTTTTCAGCCGGATCCCCAATTTCGATCTCACTTGAATCCAGTATTCGGGCTAAAAGTACATGAGCCCTAAAAGGAAGCCTTGCTGAAACCATTTTTAAAATCAGACACATTTGAGGCTTGTTTCAGCACTCAATTGAGTCTTTATTCAAAAATGTTCTCAAAGTGTTTTCTGAGTGTACCTTACTATTGTTCTTTTCACCATTAATTGTCCAATTTTTGACACAATCATGAATATCCACTCTATGCTGTTCCAATACTATATTCAGTGGCGCGGGAACCGGGGGGGCTAGGGGGGGCTGAGCCCCTCCAACTTTTCGGCTGGGGGGGCTCGTAATGTATTTGAGCCCCCCCCCCCCAGCTGGAGGAATCGAAATCGGAAATCTACCAACACAAATTCATAGATTCATACATAGGTGCGGAAACCGGGGGAGAGGGCAGTGGGGGAAGCTTGCCCTCACAACTCTGGGGCCGTGGGGGCGGTGCCTAACAATTCTTCATGAGGCCAGGAACCGTTGGGGCAGCTTGTCCTCCCCAAATTAGGGGTTGTGAGTCACAAAGGAAGAAAGCATGTGAGTGAAAAATCTACCTATTTTCTGACTCGGCAACTTATTTGGGAGCTTAAAACCTTTATTCCAGGCTGCCAAAACGGTAGTTTCATCACTCAGCTGAGACGGAATACCTCACTTTTTTTGCAAATATTTTCTTCTTTTTTTCGTTGAAAAGGCCAAGGTCTGAAAAACAAGTGGCCTAAAACCGATGAGAAAACTAGATTTGGGGGTACCCTAGGTTGATCTTTATGATGGTTCAGCCCCCCCAGTCTGGAAGAAGTTCCCGCGCCACTGACTATATTTGCATTGCTCCTTTACGTATTTTATGCTACGTCACTTGAGTGCTGTCGTGCCTATATTCTGTTGCGCTACTCGACCGCTGTCCTATGCATGACCCAGCTGATGGTGTGCTCAGGTGAAGGTATCCTGGGACCAGGAGAAGGTCGAGCCGGGCGATCCGGCAGTGCTCACCATTCGGGGAGCGCGCAACTCGCTCTGCGGCATCTGTGAGTACTGAACAGCGAGGAGGTCAGTACAGACATTGAGTACCACCAAACGCCACTGAGGAATTCATTACAGCCACTGACTAATGTTCCGTTGCTGCAGCTGCCGCGGTCGACTATATAGCCCAGCCCGCCGGCCGCCTGGCTAAGCTAAAAGAAATTGTATGCTAAGTGGAAAATTTTTGCATGGCTGTCGCTTATAATTACTAGCATCATGAGACCATATCACGCGCACTGCAGGGGGGGGTTGTTTTCAACCCCCCCCCCTGTGGTTTTTCGCAAATCGCGAGAAAACGGCGGCGCTACGCGCCGCCAAATTTTGCATACCTGTTCTCCCAGCTTTTGCACACCTTGAGTAAAAATTTTGACCCCAGGTGACCTATGGTCAGGTCACCAGGTCAGGTCAAGTGACCCTACCTCGAAACGTAAATTTCGAAGTTTGCAATCCCACCAAGCCCACAGTTGTTGAGATATGATCTTGAAACCCACAGGAAATAGTAAAGTCATCACGAGCTACAACTTGTATATCTCGGAATTTTTATATCGATGACCTAAGGTCAGGTCATTTTTGCGACCGGCCCATTATAAGTCAACGGGAGAAATTTCAACTTACTCTGAATGCCATCCTATGACTTCAATACGCTCAGGATCATAGTATTACAGGTCCCTGTTGGTGATTTCACCGAAACATATCACTTATGACCTTTGGAAGGTGATCTCCAGGTCATCTTAGGTCACCTGAGGTCACCAGCGGTTTTTCTTCAATAACTGAGATTGAATAGAGATAGAGACTCCGTTCGACGGTTATCGTGTTTTCTCGTCAATGCGGATCGAATGATATGCAACATGACCTATTTCGGTCAGGTCATGACCTTGACCTGAGGTCAAATTTTCAACTTGACCGTTCGAGGTCATATTATATATCATTCGATGCGCCTTGACGAGCTAAGAACGATGGCGTTCGAATCGATCCTCTGTCTTGTGTGCAAGACAAGTTATTCAAGAAAAACTACCGCGAAATTCCTGTTGTGAAAATCGTAACATTTTGTCTTCGGTGACCTCTGGTGACCTCGTTTTTGACCTGAGACAAAATGACCTAGTATTTCCTCTAAATAACATCTCCACCTATCTAACGCCGTTTACCGTTTGTCGCTACGTTGCGCCGTTTTCGAGATCTCAGGGGGTGTTGTTTTCAACCCCCCCCCCCCTGCAGTTCGTATTCGGCTCAGACCCGCTGCAGTGCGCGTGATATGCAATGCAGGCACTTTGACTCCGGGGAGGCTCACGTTATTTTCCTTCTGTTGTCAGCCGTTGTCGATCGCAGCGTCGAATTGCTCAGCGACAAGAACAAACTAACTGCTAAGAAGGTGTTCGAGAAGCTGCAAAAATTCGTCATCGGCGAGTACCAGTATCCTAGGCTTGTAGAATCTGATTCTAGCTATTGTAAGCGGAAACCACGACATGCAAGGCCAGGCCATGGAGATATCTTTGGCTTCCCTAACGAGTTCCAGTTGGAAGACGGAATCGCCGACAGGGAACGGTGAGGATGATCCCTTCGTCTATGTGTCTGTTTCTTTGAAGACTCGTCTGTCTGTCTTTGCCTGTTTCTGCCTGTCTTCCTGTGGGATTTACCGTAAACCGGGGTGAGTTGATATGGGGTGGTGAGTTGATATAAATTGCTCGAAAAATGTTAAAATGTGTGCTGCTCATCCATTTGTAAACCAATTTTTAGTTTTATTTTTCTGTGAAGTGAAGCAACCAATAAGTGATGCATATAGCTGAGAAAGGCATGCATGTGGTGCAGTGCCTTCTTAACACATTACTTTTTTCAAAGTCCTTTTTTTCTTCTGATTTTGAAACTAAGGAAAAGTCCCCACCCTACAGCAAAGACGGTGGATATTCATGGAACAACATGCACTGGGAAAGTACCTACCATCAATTTACTGTTGATCCCAGGTAGTTTTGGGTTTCACCTATAACAACGCTTTTTTATAATTTTAAGAAAAGTGACAGGTGGTGAGTTGATATGCCATCAAGTGGTGAGTTGATATGTATGATAAAAGCTGATACTAGGCTGGTATGCATGCAAATTAGCACGAAATATGGGTCTGCAAGTAAGACAAAGTCAATTAGACCAACTCTTCTCCTTTTCTCTCCCCACATCATTCCATCAACCCCCAAAAGCTTTAGTTTTTTTTTTTTCTGAATGCTTGAGACGAGGCCTGTTAGTATCACTGATGTTAGTTGTCGGACTTTCGTTCCCGTCTTGAGATGAGATGTTAGTTTCACAACGTTTCAGCAAGTAACTTCTCCGGCCACCGGCAAATCTGCCTCGATAGTGGCGTGGTTAGAACCGTGGACCATCACCGGGGAAACCCGAGTTCGATTCCCGCTGACTACAGGAGCTTTCGAACGGTTGGACGCGTACGGCGCAACGCCACCAACATCCAGGTCCTTCTGAGGGTCTAAGAACACCTGACGAGTGACGACGGCCGGAGAGTAACTGGCCGAAACGTTTGAAACTAACATCTCAATTATCAACTCAAGACGGGGACGAAGGTCCGACAACTAATATCAGTGACCCCAAAGTTTTTTTTTTTTCTGTGGACATACCTAACATGCAAAAGGCACAGCACAACTCCCTGTCAAGTCCCAAGATGGCTCCCTACAAGCTACAAAGGAACACTATAGAACACCTATATAGGGGAAGCGGGGGTAACACCGCCCCCCTAAGCTTTTCGCCAAAATGAGAGAATATGTGTGAAGTCTCTTGGTAGTTATTGTTTTGGTTACAATATTTAAACATTTTCTCACGTGTTTTAGGTACTTATTTTGCATGCTCCTAAAAGGTTTTCATGTATCACGACTTTTAAAAATACCTTGCATATTTGCTGCCTACAAATTGTGTGGGTAACCCCGCCACCGGTGTTGATGTTAACCCAACCCATTCCTACGAAAGCTTTTAATTGTTCAGAGATCGTGTGCGATGAGTTTCCTGTCGGTAAGTGGTAATTTTCGCAAATAATCGGTAATGGACACCTAAATAGGTATCAGTATAGGTTCATCAGCTGTTTGCCAGTTTTATACAGCTGGCAAGTGCTTGGTCGGGATGCATGAAAAATATAAAGTAAAAAATCAAATAAGCTGCTTATTCCCGACTTAGGAACATCTACGAACATAAATAAAGCGTGTCTTTGGAGTTTCATCACATCACGCAACAAACAGGAAACACCGCAACCTCAATTGGGGTAACACCGCCACGGGGTGGCGGTGTTCCCCAATAAGTGATCACAAGCAAAAATCGCCAGCGGTAAGAATGTACTACACGGTTCAAGCAAACTTATCTTACTGGACAAAGCCGATCAGTTATTTTTCGATGTAATCAAGTAAATCAAAATGAGTCTCTACTTAAAGACATTCAAAAGTGCTCCCAACTCATCGAATTTTTACAAGAGAATGTGCATTTTTCTTTAAATGCCCACATTGAGCTTCGATTACACTGAAACACCGGAACACAAATCAGAAGACGCTTACCTGCGTGCGGTCAATAGGAAATAACGGATTTTTACACTTCACATTTCATACTTTCGCCGCCAGATGGGGTGGCGGTGTTTCCCACAGCGGCGGTGTTACCCCCGCTTCCCCTACATACTATATGCATACAGATTAAAAAAAAATGTTATAATTATTCGTGGTTTCGAAAATGACAGAACTGTCGTTTCTGTATGGCTAACAGCGCGGGAATTCTGATCTCGTGAAACTGATGAGTTTTCCTGCTTGGCAGTTGCCAACCGAAAATGAGTGACAAAATGAAATGGAACAAACAATAGAAAGAAATTGACTGGTGTTTTAGCCCTCGCCCGTATTCGTGTTTTGCCAGCGTTTAACGTATAGGGGGGGGGGGGGGATCCGGTGGAATCCCATCGTCGTTTGGCCCCTGGTGGAGCTAGAGCTTCGAGGAAAAAACGAGCGTGTTGCCCGAGACGCGAGGAAGCCGATGATAACCAACTTTAAGGTCCTAGGTCATTGGTTAACCTTCCAGGCCAGGTCAATTACCCAAAAGTCGGGAAAATAAGGGGTTATTTGAAGTTCGTACAGCGAGGTTATTATTTTTTGGCTGTTGCTGATTACGAATGTCATGTTTGTTTTGATCACATGTGTCTTCGTACATTTAGGCCAGGTCAGGTCAGGTCAGGTCAACCAGTAGGTGTCCTGCCGGCTATCCATAGGGAGTGTCAAGTGTCAACTACCACTGACGGTGTCGTAACATGTTACGAAGGCACCAAAACTACTTCGTAAATGATCAAATGCATGTTAAATTCGACATCGGCCCGAAAAAAACTACCCTATAGAAACATGTAAAACTCCAAAAGTGAGCCGAGGTCACCAAAGGTCAATGACCTGACCTGACCTTCAGGTGACCTTGGCAGTTGACACCCACAATACTGCATGGGACCAACATCATTTACATGTTTGGACGTTACAATCACAAAAAGACTGGAAATGCGCGGATAATGTGAGCCGACTACGCCAAATCGCGATTCCGGCCAAGCATGGTCTCGAGAATCAGGTCACAAGTCAAAAACCATTTGAGACAGGGTCATGAAATCTTTAGAACAAGTGTAAAATTGATAAACTCGAGAGGCACTGAAAGTTTCGTCGCGATCGGCCGCTTTTTGCGCGAGTTATGTGCGAAAAGCCGAGGATGTCCGTTCGCCCGCCTATAAGTGCGAGGGTTAATTTTGGCTTTTGATGCCGAATTCTGTTTTATGTCGCTTATTTCACCTGATAGAATACAGTCCGAATTAGATTCGCTTCACTTCACTTCATAAATATTTTGTTGACTACCAGTCCACAAAAGCTCAGAAGTATATGTATTCTTTCATTTCAATCCATTATTTCTGTCAGAGGCATATCAACCTTGACCCGCAACTAACAATGTGTTTTAATTACAAGAAAATACACTTTAATTCCAAAATATATTGCCAGTTTTGATACTGTTGGCTTGAGGACACGTGACTAGCCAAGTTCAGAATGTTCTAAGTAAAACTAAGTATCATAAAGCGAAAAAATGATGCTGCTAAAATTAAGCCATTTTGATAGCGCTGTGTTGGACACATGATTGCGTTTTCATGAATGTGAGGTCTGCTGCCAAACTACTATCATTTTTCTAATGGTTTCTTTCAGGATGTGTTCTCTCATCCTTTTTTTAAACACTGGCATTTTATCAACTCACCTCTGAGCTTCTTTAGCCGAGAAATTTTGAAAAATCCAAAATCATATCAACTCACCCCCTGGGGGGTGGTGAGTTGATATGAACTTTGGCGTTTTAAAAAAGGGGCTTAATATATACATTTTTTATTCATTTTTGCTGATTGCCTCCCCAAGGCATGTGCCATGAAACTGGCACAAAAAGAATTCCGTAAATGAACGTGGCTTTTAAAGAAATCTAGAATAACCTCAAAATCCATATCAACTCACCCCGGTTTACGGTACCCTTGATATTATTTCACCGGGCTCTTACATCCAAGGTCAGGCCATTTTCGATGAATGGCGCAAATGCAATTATTGGCGCATTAGTGAAGATTAGCATGTACATACCTTGCCCATTTTAAAGTAAGGTTCATTGTGCGATACCCTTCGGCTGTGATTCATTCGAGAAGCCATCTAGCGTAGATTTAGTACGCCCATACAATATATATATATATATATATATATATATATATATATATATATATATATATATATATATATATATATATATTGTAATGTGTATACACGTTACACAATACACATGTATTGTAAGCGGACAACTCGATACATGTGCATTGTGCACTGCAGTGACTCAAGTCGATCGCCTTTCATAGATTACGGCGCTTTGGAGATAGCCATAGATATCAAATGTCCATAGACCACTTCATAGGTTCGTGACGATCTATGCGACGATCTATCTTTCTATCTTCACCTCTGTTGCACGGCTCATTATGTTATATGTGCGTGATAAACAGTGCAATTCTGATTAAGGCACAATGCTCAATTACCTGTTCCAGAGTGCCCCCCTCAAACAGCCGTAATGCTAGACGCATACGGCCAATACCACGACCAACCCCCGACGGTTACTGGTACAGAACACGGCAAGATGACTCCATCAAGGCCTTCGAGGTAAGGTCTCTCTCTCTCTCTCTCTCTCTCTCTCTCTCTCTCTCTCTCTCTCTCTCTCTCTCTCTCTCTCTCTCTCTCTCTCTCTCTCGCTCTCGCTCTCGCTCTCTCTCCCTCTCTCTCTCTCTTCTTTCTCTTTCTCTCTCTCTCTCTCTCTCTCTCTCTCTCTCTCTCTCTCTCTCTCTCTCTCTCTCTCTCTCTCTCTCTCTCACTCTATCTTTCTCACTTCTCCCTTGCTGCGTACATAACTTGTATCTCTCTCGCTTTTGCTCCGTCCTTCTTGTTCATTTCATTACAGTAGCACATAATTTTTAAGGTCCCGGTAAATGTAAGAATTGAGCGTGTTTTTGGTTAGAGCAATAGTGAACGAAGAAACTGAAGGCTTTCGAAACTGAAGTAGGTAAATAAGGCTAAAATATGTTGACCAAAGAACAAATGATTTTTTTAGTTAATCTGAGTTTATTGTCACGTAGCTTAACTAGGTCGGTGCAGTCAGAGAAACCTTCCGCCTTTTAACCCGCGCCCGGCTGGGGGTCCTGGATTTCCACGCCCTGCTGGGGGGGGGTGTTTGAACACCCCCCTTGTAACTCGGCTCCTGGGCCACGTAGCGATACGCAGAAGGCGGCGTTCGAAAGAGCGTCAAAAATAATGACGAAATCACTTCGGTCAATTTTTTGGTCAGGTCAAAGGTCAGGTCACCAGAGGTCATTGAAGGCAAAATTTCGCCGATTTCTAGGTCGAATGTCGAAAATTTCCAAGAAGCCAACGCATAACTCGGGAACCAATAGAGCTACAGCGCTGCGGAAAAGCGCATTCGATAGCCCTATTAACGCCCTTTCTGAGTAATTCTCTCAGATTTGACCTAACGTCAACGGTTTTGCCTGCAGGGGGCAAAAACTGCAAAAATAGCCGATTTTTTCGAAAACAGTTTTTCTGCAATAACTTTTGACCCAAGCCTTGTACGAGCTTACTTTTACCGGCATCGTGTTCCTCTCGTCAAGACGCATCGAATGAACTATAACTTGACCTTGAAAGGTCAACTTGAAAATTTGACCTCAGGTCAAGGTCATGACCTGACCGGAAAGGGTCATGTTGCATATCAGTCGATCCGTATCGGCGAGCTGAACACATCTAAGGCGTTTTCATCGCTCTAGCATGCCTCTATCAAAAGTTATTTGCGAAAAAACTGTTAGATACCATTCGTGACCTAAGATGACCTCAGGGCATAAACAAGGGTCACGGACACCATTTTCATGTTCAGTGTGTCTAAACCACTTGTAATTCGGTGTTTGGGAGTGTTTATAATGTCTTTCGTCCAAAAGAGGCGCATTTCAATTTTCTCCCATTGACTTATAATGGGGAGGTCGCAAAATTGACCTGACCTTAGGTCATAGATAGCAAAATTCTGAGATATAAATTTTGTACATGCTATTTCTCTTAGCAATCGCTGAAAGTTTCAAAGCGATCAGTCACTCGGTGTAGCTATGACAAACATTGAAAGTTTTTATGAGGTGAGGTCACTTCAAGTGACCTGGTGACCTGACCTTGAATGACCTTGGTCTGAAATTTTCACAACATGTGTAGAATTGATGTATGATAAGGTGTACCAAAAACGGCGGCGCTCCGCGCCGCCGTTTTTTAGATATTCGCGAAAAACCACAAGGGGGGGGTGTTCAAACACCCCCCCCCCCAGCAGGGCGCGGGTTAAATGCCTACTTAGGAACGGAAATCGTATTCAGAGTTTGCAGACGTCATGGATGCAACCATATGCTTTAAGTCTTTGAGGTCATTTTTGTGAGCTTCGAGCAGGAGCTATCGATTCCACTGTCCGTAAGCCCACGGGCGTAGGAACGTCATGAAAAGTGGGTGGGCCACCCTGTCAAGGGGCCTCCTTTTCCAGGGGGCCTCCTATTTTCAGGGGCCTCCAACTTTTGCCTCGTCCTGCTGGCTGCTTTCAAGTAGGTATGACCTCCAAATATAGCTTCTGAGATCGAGCAGATGTACCCAGGGGCGTAACCGCTTAAGCGAACAGTGCGGAAAGTCCGCACCATTTTTAAAGCTTATTCCCCCTCCGATTTTTTTTTTTAGAATCTATTTGCCGCAAACGGCGCATGACCCCTGAAAGGCTGAAAACCCTTACACAAATGTCTTCCTCGTTACCCATGTGCCCCCATTAGCTTCATAAGCGCCCTCTTTGGCATATAAGCGCCCTATGTATAGGTAGTCATCAGAGACATCCCTATATGTCCCACAGTCACCCCGTTGTCGCATACAATGTGCGCTTATCATAGGCGTCTCTCTTTTATGGACACTTGAAGGCGCCTCTCTTTGCCATGCCGGCGCCCCTGTTTCTTATGAATGCACCCGCCATGGCATTGATCAATTGCAATTTGCAGACCTCTATTGCGTGTGGACGCCCATATATGTAGGCCTCAGAGGCGCCCCTCTTTCGTATTGAGGCGCCCCTATGGGCTTCTTAGGCGCCCCTCTATTGCACGTAGGTGCCATACGTCTCAGAACCGCTCCCCTTTGGCATGAAGACGCCCATCTTTCGTACGGAGGAGCCGCTGTGGTTCTTAGAGACGGCATGGTGCTCCCAGACGCAGATGGGGCTCTCGGAGTCGACAGTGTGGGACCTTCAGTCGCTGATGGGTGCCCGCCAGATGTGGACCCTCGGAGACGCCGGTATGGGGCCCTAAGAGATGCCGGTATGTGTCCCTTAGAGACACCGGTGTGGAACCCTCAGATACTTCAGTGTGAAGCCCTTACAATTGCTGGTGTGGAGCTATGAATGCGCTGGCTTAATTAAATCCCTCAGAGGCCGGTACATGGACATAAGAGCTCAGTGAGAGCTTGTGTGGTACCTTCAGTGGCCTTGTGGAGCTGTTAGACATCAACATGGTGCTCTCAGGAGCCGGTGAGTCCTCTGAGTCACCGGTGTGGGGCCTTCAGAGCTCCGAGATACTGGTGTGGGGCCCTCAGAGGTGTCGGTGTGGGTCCTTCAGATGTACCTATAGAGCCTTGAGATGCACAGGTGTGGTGGCCCACAGAGGCGCCGGTGTGGGGCCTCCAGAGCCACCGATATAGGGCCCTAAGAGACACTAGTATGACCCTCAAAGGCGCCGCTGTGTGGCGCTCATAAACACTGGTGTGGAGCCATCACAGGCGGGTGGAGCCGTTAGAGGCCGGAAAGGGCCCTTAGATGCCTACAAGGAGCCTTCATAAGCCGGCGTGGCACCCTTATGGGGATAAGCGTGTCTACTTAGGAGCCCTTGAGGTGCTCTCATGAGCTCTGTGGGGCCCTACCGAGCCGAAATATGGCCACGTCCAGTTGCCGCCGCATGGCTCTTCGGACTATCATTCTCAGGGGCCTCATCTGCCTAGTTTGAATAGAAGGGCCTCTCAGACCATCAGTCTCATGGGCCTCCTCTGGCTAGTATAAATAGAAGGGCCTGTTAGACCATCAGTCCTAGGGGCCTCCTCTGGTTAGTGTAAATAGAAGAGCCTCTCAGACCATTAATCTCAGGGGGCTCCTGTGGACAGTATAAATAAAAGGGCCTCTCAGACCATCAGTCTCGGGAGCCTCCCTAGAAAAGTGTAAATGTGGATAGAGGGCCCCCTCAGATTCATTAGGAGTGGACCTCTCTGACTATCAGTCTCAGGGGCCTCTTGTGGCCAGTATGAATATAAGAGCCTCTCCGACCATCGGTCTCAGGGGCCTCTTCTGAGTTCTGACTAGTGTGGATAGAGGGCCCTCCCAGACCACCGGTTTCAGGGGCCTCCAGTGGCCAGTTATATGAACAGAAGGGCCTCACAGCCATCAACTTCTGGGGCCTCTTCTGACTGGTGTGAATATGAGGGCCTCTCATACTATCAGTCTCAGGGGCCTCCTCTGCCTAGTGTGAATATAAGGGCTTCCCAGGCCATCAGTCTCAGGGGACTCTCCTGACTGGTGCCGGATTGAGGGACCTCCCAGACCGAAAGTTTTGGGGGTCTCCTGTGGCCAGTATCAATAGAGGGGCCTCTCAGTCCATCAGTCTCATGGGCCTCTTCTGCCTGGTGTGATTATAAGGGCCTCTCAGGTCATCAGTCTCAGGGGCCTCCTCTGACTACAGTGTAGATGGATAGGCCTCCCATACCATCAGTCTCAGGGGCCTCTTCTGGCTATTGAGGATAGAGGGGCCTCCTCTGACTAGTGAGGGTAGGGGGCCTCGGCTAGACCACCAGTGTCAGGGGCCTTTTCTGACTAGTGTGGATGGAGGGGCCTCCCAGTCTCAGACCTCTGACTAGTGTGGATAGAGGGGCCTCCAAGACCGCCAGTGTCAGGGGCCTCCCCAGACCAGTGTGGATATTGGGGCCTCCTCAGATCCACTAGGGCCTCTCAGGCCATCAGTCTCAGGGGCTTCGACTGACAAGTATGAACAGAGGGCCTCCTTGGATCCATCACGGCCCCCTTGGAGTCCGTGCGTGGGGATTCGTGGAACTTATTTTTACCGAGTCTGTTTATTCTTGAAGGTGACGACGTCCTCTCAAATCGAGACGAGGGGCCTCGAGTAAAAAGTGGGTGGGCCAAAACACATGGTTGGCCCCCCCACCTCGAAAAGTGGGTGGGCACTTGCCCACCTGGCCCCCCCTGTTCCTACGCCTATGCGTAAGCCTCATCGTGCAGAAATCCCATAATCTTACATTTGACCTGACCTCGACCCGAAAGTTGACCTCAGTCTTAAAATCTTGAGTGCTTTAGGAAGGTCTCGTAAATGCCTTTCGAACGCCACCTCGCGGGGTTCGATACGGCCATTGGTTCTCAGATAGCAGGGGGGGGGTCGGATCCGACCCCTCCCCCTACCCAGGCTGCCGTGGGTACGGAAATAGCCCAGATGCGGTGCCGGGTTAACCCTCGCCCGTATGGGAGGTTCGAACGGACTCCCTCGTTTTTTTTTTTCACGAATGCTCCGCGAATGCGAAACTCTAAGGACCCTAGAGATTTTCAACTTTGCATCTTCCCTGAAAATTTCATGACCCTGACCCAAATGATCTTTGACCAACCAGTTTCTTGAGACCATGTTTAGCCGGAATCGTGATTCGGCGTATGTCGGCTCGCATTAGCCGCGCGTTTGCGGTCTTTTCGTGGTTTCATGTGTTCAAACATGTGATATGATGTTGGTCCCATGCATTAAGGTGGGTGCCAAGGTCACCTGAAGGTCGGGTCAGGTAATTGACCTTTGATGACATCGGAGCCCTGTTCGGGCAGCGCATCCTACTGCAAAATTTTGCACCACGCATGCGCAGTAGGGGTCTCTCGGGTGCCAGGCTCCACCCTTCGGCCTATGACGTCACATATGTGACGTCGGCAAGCGCAAAATCTTTCAGTTTTGCGCAACAAGAAAAAAGTAGCTGCAGGAGGCGAAAGTGGCGCGAATTAAAGTTTACCGTCCTATATTTCTTATTGTAAGTGGTTTGAATGCCGTATTTTGGGTATCATTATCACTTTTTTCAGTGGCACATTGCTATTAACCACATTTGAACGCATTTTATTCAGTTTTTGAACGAAAACCACCAGTCCATCCGCGCCACGGTTCGTCACGCGTCGAATAATGGCTGCCGCGGCCGCCGCGGCCCTCGGCTCTGGCGGCCCGGCGGAGAGTGGGCGGAGCCAGTGGCTGACGTCATCCAAGTGTGCCGTCACACGCTGCAAAATATTTTGCGCGGAGCCGAACAGCACTCGGCTCACTTTTTCGAGTTTTGCATGTTTCTAGGCTATAGTTTTTGGAGCTGAATTGGAAATGAGCAGCCATTTGAACATTCACGAAGCAGTTTAGGTACCTTCGTAACATGTTACGAAGCTGTCAGAGGCGGTTGACAACTCTACGAATACCCGGCAGGACCCCAACTGGGTGACCTGACATGACCTGACCCGACCTGTCCTAAATGCATGAAGACATCATCTGTGCTCAAAACGAACATGGTGTTCGTGATCAGCACCCTTAAAACCCCATATCAGCCACACTTTGCGACGTTTAGGTCCCGATTTTCACGACTTTTGGGTCATTGACCTGGCCTGTAAGGTAAACCAATAACCCAGGACCTTAAAATTGGGTGTCATCAGCTTTCTCTCGTCACGGGCAACACGCTCGTGTTTTTCTGAGAAGCTCTAGCTTGATCAGGGGCCAAACGGCAAGGGGACCTCCTTCCCCCTCCCCCCCCCTATACGTTCGCGGCTGGCAAAAGACCAATACGGGCAAGGGTTAACCCAAACACCATAAACTTTTAGCAAATTCTAGACGTCTTGCATGCAAACAAATATCACCCTCAGATTACGTGGCTTAACCCGCGCACCGACGGGGGGGGCGGATATCCGCCCCCCTGAGGTTTTTCGCGGATAGCGGGAAAACCGCGGCGCGTAGCGCCGCGAAATTTGGTATGACTATTCTCTCATCAATTTTACACATGGTGTGCAAGTTTGAACCTCCTAACTTTTAAGGTCAGGTCACCAGGTCACTTTGAATGACCCAACCTCAAGTCACTTTTTTGCAACTTTGTCACCGTGCCAGAGCTACAGTAGATGTCGGAGGCCTTTGAAAGTCGCAGGATGTTATTAGGTCATTAGTAGCTACAATTTGTATATCTCGGAATTTTGATGTCGGTGACCTAAGGTCAGGTCAATTTCGCGACCTCCCCATTATAAGTCAATGGGGGAAAAATCAACTCCCTGTTTTTACCACTAAAACGGGTCGGAATGGCCCCATATACCATACATGACTTCACATTCGATCAACCTTCACTACCTTGAGGTCTGTTTTGCTGTTGGGCAGCTGTAAGGTCATGTGACGTCATCAAAGGTCACCAAAGGTTTTTTGCCAATAACTCCTTACAGGAACAAGATACAGCCGCGCGGATGGTCTCATTGTGTTCAGCTCGTCAAGACGCATCGAATGATATACATGATGACCTCGAGGTCACGTGACCTGAGGTCAACCTTTGACCTTGACCTTTCGAGGTCAACATATATATCATTCGATGCGGATCGACGAGAGGATCACGATGATGCCCTTAGTTTGTTCCTATCTTGACTACTTCGAAAGTTATTCGAGAAAAACCCTCTCCATGTCTAGCGCCGCCATTTTGACTTTTTCGACCCCTGTGACGTCATCTTTGACCTGACCTGAAAATGACCTTAGTAAAAATTGTAGACCTTGTCCGTGCGTATCCGATGCCGTTTACCGCTTGTCGCTATCTTGCTTTGTTCTCGAGATCTCAGGGGGGGCGGTCATCCGCCCCCCCCCCCCGTCGGTACTAAGTTGGCGCAGACCCCCGTCGGTGCGCGGGTTAAACTGAGTCCGATTGCCACACTTTATTTGAAATACTCAGCTCCCAAATTTGACATTTTTACCTGTTCTTGACCTGAATGATACCCAACGAGCTGAAGATGACATAGACGGCGCAGACGAAACTAGTATCGAATTATTTGTCAAAATGGGTCATAAAACGTGTTTCACATGACTTTTTCTGACTAATTTCTGTGACTTTTTGTGACATATTCTGACCTAGCTTTCACCTAAATCATGATCACCTAAATCGACATAGCTTTCACCTAAAGGCTACTTACCGCTGTGACTGATCGCCATCCGTTTAGGTATGAGTGGATAAATCAATTTTGAGCTCGATGTGACTGGCCACAGCCTGAAGTGTGAACATGTTGAAATGTTGATAATATTAACTTTGACCTGACCTGTGGGCTGTGACGTCATGCACAATGAACTACACTCAAGTCAGGCGCGGGGTACCTAACTATAGTCACCACCTAGTGGTCATAGCGATTAGTGAGGCATGTGGCGTTTAACCCTCGCCCATGTAGGGGGGGGGGGGGTTGGTGCAACCCCCCCTGAGGTTTTTCGGAAATAGTGCAAAAACGGCGGCGCGCAGCGCCGCCAAATTTTGGGTACCTTATGGGGCAAACCTTGCGCATCTTTTGATAAAAAAAAATTTGACCGGGTCATGTCAGGTCACGGAGTTATGACGTCACAAAGGGAACAGCCTCCGGCCGGATTTTCACAAACTGAGTGCCAACGCCCGAGGTTTCCTGCCGGTGGTACGGACATCGGTTGATGGATCGTGATGAAACTTCCCATGCATGTTGGGGCAAGTATTGGCTATCATATGGTATAAGAAACTTGACCGGGTCAGGTCAGGTCACGGAGCTATGACGTCACAAGAGGAACAGCGTCCGGTACTATTTTTGAAAAGCGCCCGAACCACTATTTTGCTAATTCGTGTCACCTCAATGGGAATATGCAGCAATATTAGCTTCTATAGGGAGCAAATGGACATCCCAAATCCAAAAATACAATCAGATTTCAAAAATTTAAATTTTGATTTTTCGAATTTCTGCCGCCGACTGTGACCTTGCCGACTTCCGGCGCTCCCAACGCGCCATTTTTAGAGCTAGGGAAACGAAATACATACCAAACGATAGAGAATTGATCAAGGAACACGATAGTGAAGGTTTCAAGTCGATATCTCCCACCGTTTTGCCGCAATCGCCGCGGAAAATTTGAAAAAGTCTATTTTTCCGAAAATTTGACCTTTGACCGGTCAAAAGTAGGTCAAATGTTGACCTAGGACCAAAAAATATACCACCAATCGCGAGATCTCGGCGAGAGCAATCCGTTGGTCTTTTCCGCTAAGCTCTACGACGCTCCGTTTTCAAACGCCAAGGGGGGGGTCGCACCAACCCCCCCCCCCCTGCATGGGCGAAGGTGGCAGATCGCCGTTTACGGGCGAGGGTTAAAGCTTCCTGTCCAGAATCACCTGGTTTGCCATTTATTCAAATCAATTAGTTCAGAATTCGTGACGCTTTGGTCCAGAGAGCTCACATAAATGGTAGAGCATTATTTTAGGACGATCCTTTTACCGACAGGTGGCTGGCTACCTTGTGTTCTCAAACTTTGTGCTGGAGTCGCGACCCTGCGAGAGAAACAACCGGTCTTCGCCTGTCTATTACCCGCGGAGAACGTTCAGAACTGGCAATGTGGCGTTTGCGATGGAGGGAGGTGCCGCAGCGTCTCTTGTGCCTGTGTCCACTGCGGCACAAGGCTCCATCGCAACTACTGCGGAAGACTCGGCGGCCCCGGAGCCGGCCGCGGAGACGGCCGTGGAGCCGGTCGCGGAGACGGCCGTGCGCTCTCTCTTCCCGCCGACGTTCCTGTTTCAGCTGGAGAAACTCGGGTGAGTTGGGCGGTCTGCAGCTGATCCGGGGCCGACAGTCCTAACAACCGACAGCGCAGACTCTCGCTGTTGGAACAGCCTGCTGTATGTAAGGGCGGACAGTCACCATGGAGAGGCTGGTGATCAGACCTTGGACCCGGTAGTGACGGCGGAATCTATAGATCGGGATGGTACTTTATTTTGACTTGCAGATGACACGGCAGGAGAGGAGATGTGGGTTTGTTTGCGAAGGATCCAGCCTGGAACTGGTGTCGGTGCCTGAGTCTGCTATTGGTGCCAATGTTGTTGGGGTGATCGATGACGAGGCAGCTGCTGCTGGTTGAGATGAGACTGGCACGGTTGAAAGCCTGCTGATCGGTTCCCAGTTCCGGAGCTAGACTTCCACACTGCAGGCAATAGGCAGTGCAGTACTATCGGTTTTAAGCCGCTGTCTAATAGTCATCTTGAAGATCGTTTCATATGGTGGATACCTGCACATCGCTTTAATTCATATGCTTATGTCGAAAAGCTTACTTAACCCGCACTCCACTGGGGTCTGCATATAACGCGCCCTACTGGGGGGGGGGGCTATTCATAGCCCCCTTCTAACTCCCAAACTACTGGGCCGATCGTCCAAAGTCAAACGGCGTCTGATAGCCCCGGAAAAACATTAGGGCGAAACCTAATTTCATTGACCTCAAGGTCGCCGATGACGTCACAGGTCAGGTCAAAGTAAAAATTATCGATGTTGGGCTCATGTTCACACTTTGGGCTCTGGCCGCCGGCTTACAATTCATATCAAGCTTTGGTTTACACTTTCGTGAATAGATGCTTAAGGTGCCCTGAGGGTACCAAACTTGTACTTTGATTTTCAGGTCAGGGCCAGGTCGTGCCAGGTTACGGACATCCTATACCTATCATTCATCGGTCACGGTGACACATGTTTTAGTGTCCTTTTAGGCCATAGATTAACCCGCGCTGTGCTGAGGGGGGAGGGGGAGGCGTTTTCACTTTTCACACCCCTCTTCCCCTCAGGTTTCTCGCGAATAGGCATATCAAAAACGGCAGCGTGCAGAAAACGGACGATAGACCGGTTAAACGGTTGAACGGAAAGCGTGACGATTGTTGTGATCTGGTCACCTGACTGGGGATCACTGAGACTGAAACTGAAGGAAGGTATACAGTCTGTAACGACTTGATTTGTATCTAGATACTGGAACGGTCCTTTTACCGACAGGTGGCTGGCTACCTTGTGTTCTCGAACTTTGTGCTGGAGTCGCGACCCTGCGAGAGAAACAACCGGTCTTCGCCTGTCTACTACCCACTGGGGACTGAGACTGCAGGGAGCGCCGCCATTGTTGGTGCGCGTCGCTTCGCGGTAGCATCAGCAGATGGTGCTGTGAGTGGGTTCGCAGAAATTGCACAGAAAGCAGACAGTTCAACTGTTTCGGCAGACTCGGCGGCCCCGGAGCCGGCCGCAGAGACGGCCGTGCGCTCCCTCTTCCCGCCGACGTTCCTGTTTCAGCTGGAGAAACTCGGGTGAGTTGGGCGGTCTGCAGCTGATCCGGGGCCGACAGTCCTAACAACCGACAGCGCAGACTCTCGCTGTTGGAACAGCCTGCTGTATGTAAGGGCGGACAGTCACCATGGAGAAGCTGGTGATCAGACGTTGGACCCGGTAGGGACGGCGGAATCTATAGATCGGGATGGTACTTTATTTTGACTTGCAGATGACACGGCAGAAGAGGAGATGTGGGTTTGTTTGCGAAGGATCCAGCCTGGAACTGGTGTCGGTGCCTGAGGCTGCTATTGGTGCCAATGTTGTTGGGGTGATCGATGACGAGGCAGCAGTTGCTGGTTGAGATGAGACTGGCACGGTTGAAAGCCTGCTGATCGGTTCCAAGTTCCGGAGCTAGACTTCCACACTGCAGGCAACAGGCAGTGCAGTACTATCGATTTTAAGCCGCTGTCTAATAGTCATCTTGAATATCGTTTCATATGGTGGATACCTCCACATCGCTTTAATTCATATGCTTATGTCGAAAAGCTTACTTAACCCTCGCCGGCCGAGGGGGGGGGGGGCGCGGGTGCCGCCCCCCCATAGGGGTTTTTCGCGATAGCTCTGAACACGCTGGCGATAGAGAGTTGAAACTTGGCATACCTGACCTTTGATCCAAGCCGCATCTTTTGACACCAACCGCATTTTTTGGTCAGGTCAGGTCACTGACCTATGACGTCATAAGTGAACCTCTGCACGGTCTTCAGATGTCGCAAATTTGCAACGCCCTCACTGCCAGAGGAGATGTCACAGGGAAATGAAACTTGCAGGATCTAGTATCCATTATGAGTCTCACAACTTGTATATCTCGGATTTTTCCTAAAGGTCATATGAGGTCAGGTCATTTTCGTGACCTCACCATCATAAAATGGGGAAAAATGAAAACTGCTATTCTGGCGCCGGGAACGATCTCCAACTATCTCAAGCAAACAGAATCGTGATTTGATGCACTCCTTGCAAGGTTAGATGCGTCACTTTTGCAATGTTGACCTTGCGTGACGTCATTTATGACGTCATCAAGGTCATATTAGTTTTTCGTCAATAACTCTTGATCAAATTGAGCTAGCGAGTCGAGAAAGTCACCAATGGACTCAAGAAGACCTGCCGAATCGAATTATATGCGACATGACCTCTTTCGACCAACTTCGTGACCTGGGGGTGCTGACCTGACCTTGACCTGAGGTCAACACCCCAAGTTGACCTGACCCGGACAAAAAGTATATCATTCGACGCGCCTGAGCGAGGCGAATACGATGCTGTCAAAATCGCGGCTTTGCGACCATTTTTTGCGAAGTTATTCACCAAAAACTGAACCGTACCCTGGGGCACTTGACCTGACCTCAGAGGTCACCGGTTGACCTAGGACCTTAAAATCGGGTACCAATCTCTGCGTCTCGTAACGGCGCACACGCTCGTTTTTCCGCGACGCGCTAGCTCCACCAGGGGCGAAACGGCGAGGGGGGTCGTACCCGCCCCCCCCCTCGGCCGGCGCGTATGTAGAAAGCCAATAGGTCCGGCGAGGGTTAATCCGCACTCAACTGGGGTCTGCGTATATAACGCGCCCTACTGGGGGGGGGGGGCTATTGATAGCCCCCCTCCTAACTCCGAAACATACTGGGTCGATCGTCGAAAGTCAAACGTCGTCTGATAGCCCCGGAAAAACTGTAGGGCGAAACCTAATTTCATTGACCTCAAGGTCACCGATGACGTCACAGGTCAGGTCAAAGTAAAAATTATCGATGTTGGACTTGTTCACACTTTGGGCTCTGGCCGCCGGCTTTAAATTCATATCAAGCTCATTTTTGGTTTACACTTTCGTGAATAGATGCTTAAGGTGCCCTGAGGGTACCAAAGTTGTAGTTCGATTTTCAGGTCAGGGCCAGGTCGTCCCAGGTCACGGACATCCTATATCATTCATCGGTCACGGTGACACATGTTTTAGTGTCCATTTAGGCCATAGATTAACCCGCGCCGTGCTGGGGGGAGGCGTTTTCACATCCCTCTCCCCTCAGGTTTCTCAAAAATATCAAAAACGGCAGCGTGCAGAAAACGGACTATAGACCGGTTAAACGGTTGAACGGAAAGCGTGACGATTGCTGTGATCTGGTCACCTGACTGGGGATCACATGAGACTGAGACTGAAGGAAGGTATATAGTCTGTAACGACTTGATTTGTATCTAGGTACTGGAACGGTCCTTTTACCGACAGGTGGCTGGCTACCTTGTATTCTCGAACTTTGTGCTGGAGTCGCGACCCTGCGAGAAAAGGAATCGGTCTTCACCAATATACTACGGGAAGACGACTGTACTTGGAGGCTTCACCTCTAGTTCTGGGTCTCGCCCCGCATTAGCGAAAACATCAGCAGGTGATGCTGTTTTTGAGGTCACAGAAACTGCACAGAGAGGGGGCAGTTCAACTGTTTCGGCAGACTCGGCGGCCCCGGAGCCGGCCGCGGAGACGGCCGTGCGCTCCCTCTTCCCGCCGACGTTCCTGTTTCAGCTGGAGAAACTCGGGTGAGTTGGACGGTCTGCAGCTGATCTCCTGCCGGGGCCAACAGTCCTAATTGAGGTGGGGCCTGCTGTAATAGCGAATACTCGCCATGGTGAAGCTGGTGGCGTTTGTCGAAGTAGACAAAGGATGTGGTACTGGCAGCGACAGCAGAACCCGTCCTGTGGTCCGGGCCACTATTTTCGACTGAGGACGACCTGTGAGATAGGACTTTGCTCAGGGGACAGTTGCACTCTGCAGCAAACCCATGTGCCCATGCAGACTGCAGAGAGATATGGTACCATACTGTTGGCGCGGCCGGCGGCCGTGGCCAGGGGCTGGTATTGGTGACAGGTGGTGGCTCTACCATTGCAGCCAATTTGTTTGAGGCGGTTGATATTCAGCTGCTGCCGTTGTTTGTTGATGCTTACAGTTGGTAAATTTTCATCTCTTTCCAGAGCTGACGTTTTTGACTACGTAGCTCGCTTCTACTGTACTCGTAGCTGCATATACTACATCCATGCTGTAGGCTCTATATAGTTGGCTGTTCGAACTGAAGATCTATTTGTTTTGGAAATGGTTGGTCATTGCTGATAGGAGTGCTACTACATACTCGCAGCCATGGCTGCTGCTGATGTCCATGGCAGACCAGCTTCAGCCTCATGCCGCCAAGTCATCAACTTGCACGTCTACTACGAAAGGAGAGACTGTACTCCTTTTTCTCCACGTCTTAGACGAAAACTATCAAATGAACCCATCGGTGACTCAACTCTTACTCTGAGCAAGAGTCACTTCGCAAGGTCAGGTCACTGCTGAGTTGAGAGCATGCAAAGGTACGCATTCATCCAATATTGCCGCTTTTAATCCACGCCGTGCTGGGGGGGGGGGGTTACACCCCCCCCCCCCCAGGTCTTTCGCGAATATCTCAAAAAACGACAGTGTGCAGCGCCACCGTTTTTGGTACACCTGTTCATATATCATTTCCGCACATGTTGTGAACATTTTAGGCCCAGGTCGTTCAAGGTCAGGTCACCAGGTCACGTCAAGTGACCTTACCTCAGAGAAAGTTTAAAGGCTCGCCCTAGCTACACCGACTGAACAATCACTTTAAAACTTTCAGCGATTGATATGAGTAACAGTATGTATAAAATGTATATCTTTTTTATTTTTTTTTTTATTTTTTTATATATGTGACCTAAGGCCAGGTCAATTTTGCGACCTCTCCATTGCTATGTCATGTCTCCATGTCAATGCGAGAAAATTGAAATGCGCCTCTTTTGGACGAATGTCGTTCAAAACGCTCTCGAACATCGGTTCATACGTAAACATGACACACTGAATCGGAAAAATGCACCTGTGACTCTTCTGTGTGCCTCTGAGGTCATCTCAGGTCATGAACGGTCACCAGCAGTTTTTCTTTTTTTTGCTATAACTTTTGATAGTGACGGGCTAGAGCGGTGAAAACCGTCAGATGTGTTCAGCTCGACGATACGGATCGACTGATATGCAGCATGACCCTTTCGGTCAGGTCATGACCTTGACCTATGGTCAAATTTTCAAAATTACCTTTTAAGGTCAGTTCATTCGACGCGTCTCGATGAGAGGAACACAATGAGCTGCCAAAAGTAATGTAGTGGCTCTCTTGAGTTAAACGTTATTGCCGAAAAAACATTTTTCGTAAAAACGGCTATTTTTACAGTTTTTGCCCTCTGGAGGCTAAACTGTTGACCTGAGGTCAAATCTGAGGACATTACACAGAAAGATCTGTAAAAGGGCTATCGAATGCACTTTACCGCGGCGCTGTAGCTCTGTTGGTTGTCAAGTTAGCCGTGGACTACCTTTGTCCTTCGATGACCTCTGGTGACCTGACCTTTTACTTAAAAATTACCGATGTGTATTCTTCCTTATTTTTGACGCTCTTTCGATTGCCGCTTACCGCGTGTCCATACGTGGCCCAAGAACCGAGTTAGACGGGGGCGTGGAAACGCCCCTCCCCTCCAGCGCTCGGCGGAAAGTTCAGGCCATCAGCACGGCGCGGGATAACATCAGAAAAGAAGCTGTGCGAACAGATATGGCTAAAAATAGAGACCCGGATAATGTTTTACACCCTGTTTTCCTGAAAATGTCTTTTGTCTAGTTTTAGTCTTTTTAGCCATCAGGTCAGGTCACCAGGTCAATAAAACTGGCACCTTTTCAAAGCAATACAATAACAAAGTACGTTTCTCGCTATAAATGCAAATTTCCATCGATTGCATCCAAATTATCAGGGCGCATACGTATAAAGATGAGGCTTCAAAGAAAGGTGTATTTGTGTTCCTCTCTCTCAGACGACTCAAATAGGCCTTTTATGTCATATGTATTCGTAATATTTTTTTTGAACTTTGGCTTACGGTTTTTTTATCATTTCAAAGTAGTAAATTAGTACATCATTTTACGTGCATTGATGTTCTGAGCTTTTTTCCTGTTTCGCTCTATCTGAAGCTGTAGGTACTTGAGGGAACGCAAGAAATAAGTCAAAAAACGTTTCCGTGGTTCGGGATAGTTTGCAAACTAACACCTGCCCGTGATATAGGTCAATTACATACATGCAATTGATTACAAAGATTATGTAATGTACCTTATTTATTTCGCATCGAGGGTGAACGAATAATAGGTACCAATCCTTCAAAAATTCTGCAATTCGCTCCTTTTATCTCTGATCAAAATTTATACATTTTGGAATATTTTACTTCAAACAAATTATTCGAAGCTTATATTATCAGCTTCACTTCGACCTGCGGGCCGATTTGAGCCACCCACGTTTCGTACTTGAGGACGCTTCCATGGCAGTTGGTAGTGGCACTGCAGTGGGCTGTTTTGCCGCCAGCTGGCAGGACTTCTGCCACTTTCAAACCTGGTGCTGGAGAGCAGACCTTGCGAGAGGGACCGGCTGTCCCGCCGGTGGCCGCGCGTCTACCGGCGTCGCGTGCGCCGCTTCCTGCGGCCGGTCATGGCACGGCGCTCGGGCCGGGCGCTCGACGCCGACGACGACGACGCCCTCACCTCGCCCGCGCCGCCAGTGCCGACGCCGAGCACTGTGGCGCCGTCTGGGCCGGCACCCCGCCCCGCCGGACGGACGCGCACAGAGGCGCGCTCACTTTTTCCGAAAACATTTCTGTTCGAGGTACAGAGCCTTGGGTAAGTTTCATCACTGGTTGGCAACCGTCACTTTATAGCATGTATGCGCTGCGGAAACGGTATCAAGCGTTGATTGGATGTGTCTTCTCTCTGACAATATTTATATTTACGAGTGCTGTGCAAGGCCATGCATGGTGGTGTGTATAACTAAGTAGTTGCTACTTGCTGGGGGGATTCGTGTGGTCCTTCTCCATATTATCTCGTACCAAGAAATATCTCGTACCAAGACATTTCACAAGAACGTCTGCGACTCTGCAAGTTTACTGAAGCTTTCGTTCGTTGCGGCAACAGAACACTGTACACTGTACAGTGTACATAATCGGAGATATTTTCGACTGTCTGCCTTCACACCATATCGGGCCTGCGCTGTTTCTTCAAGTGAATGGATTGTTTTGTTTGCTGGGTTTGGATATTCTCCATATTTTTCTCCACCAGAGCTGCGCTGTGCTCTTCGACTGAGGTGCTGAAGTTTCGTGTGGTGTCGCGTCCCGTCTCCAGCAGTGAGAAGTCTCAACTCTTTACGGTTATAATATTGGCCCGTCGTATGTGTTTCCTGTGGCGCTGAAGTGAATATAGCCGCTTGTTGGTAACCAGCAGGTAATTTGCTATATATGTAGTGTCGAGTTATCTGTAGCTACTGGAACCTGCCCTTACTTAGCCACTAGCTAGGTCAAGGGTAAATTAATTTGTGCACGAAAGAAATGACTTGTAGAGTTCCAGAAGCATGCGTTAAATGTTACAGCGTTTTGATTTGTATTGCGAATTTGGTCGCTTTAATTCATGCCCATAACAATTACATGTTGTATATGTTTTTTATGAATTAGATCGATTAGGTGCGTAATCACTTCGTTCATGTGTCTCACTACTCGTATCTCTCGTTGCATTTGTGACTCCCTCCCTCCCTGTCCTAATATCCCCGTCTCTTCCTTTGTCAAGACGCTGAACTTCTATCCGCGTCCTTCCGTCGCTGCATCCCTCCCAACGATTCCTTCCGTCTGTGTATCTCTTCCATCCGTGTTCTTCCGTCTCTGTCTCCTCTTCTGTGTTATTCTGTCGCCGTCTGTTGGATGCCCTCCTGCCGCTCGGCTGAGTACTGAAGCCCCGGCTGTGCACAGGGGCTCGGGCCGTAAGGATATCAGCACCACCATGCCGGACACCATTACCAGCTGGGTGGCGTCGGCCTTCTGCAGCGGACTTCGTGTGAGTGCAGTGGCCACCTGGTCGGTATGAGAGACTCGGAATGTGTGAATTGTGGTCATTCAAACTTACTGCCGAGTGATGTTTCACAAATCTGACTTTGGAGGATCGAAATCCGAGATTCGACTCGAGAGTGAAGTACGTGTCTATATCGTCTATATGTTACAGGCAAAGTGAAAACTCGGGCATTTTGCAAAATGCCTAGGCAATTTGCAAAATGCCTGACACGCCAGGCATTTTGCAAAATGCCCAGGCAGTTTGCAAACTGCCTGACCCACCAGGCATTTTGCAAACTGCCTAGGCATTTTACAAAATGCCTGACCCGCCAGGCATTTTGCAAAATGCCTGGGTTTCCATATATTCCACCGCTTTTGTTGACTACAGGCGTTGATCATAAACGTTCCACTGTGACTGACCCCACAACACATTTCACATGTTTTGTGGGCACATGTGACACATTCCACGGTCACGAATACAGGGTGTCACGAAATTGTTGCGGGATGTTGTACTTGTGTCCCGAAATGTATTGCATCGTAGTTGCGTCAGTGTTCTCCAGCACCTCGCTGACAAGTTATCAGCGGCCACGTGGTCTGTCCCCGCGTCACCTGGTGAAGCTCAAATAGGCCTCTGTAGACCATCATGCCTCAAACGAGAATCCCCAGTCCCCAGTGGGTGCTTCACCGTCTCGGCGGTGCAGCGCCTCTGAGCTGCTGTTGACCCAGAACTGCTTGTCGGGACGGTTCGTGACTAAGAAGAGCTCTAATAGCCGTTTTCACGACGGGCTATCCGGCGAGTGCACCTAATTTGACCAAATCTGCACATAATCTCTTTTACAGCAAATATCTTTATTTTATGAATTTATTTCAGTGTTTTAACCGATGATGCTCTCTGATAATATGACAAAGGAGGCATATAAGCAATTAGTACAACCCTAGCTGATGGCTACTAAGAGACACACTGAACCTAATTTGACCAAATATGCACCTAATCTGCACCAGATGTGAACCAAATGTGTACCAGATGGCCGTCGTGAAAACGGCTAATATTGCCTCACGGACTCATCATTGAAAAGTCTGAATCTCTAGTCCTGAATGGTCCAGATTTGGTGGGTTTTGTCTAAATCCAGCTGCATCACTTATGGATGACGGTAAGTCAGGGTTGCAGCCTGGGGTTGAGCGGCTTCAGCTTCAGGGTAAAATCTTCAGATACCGAGGGATGGCCGATTTAGGTGCCGAGTGCCCTGGTCCAGATGCCCTGGTGCCGGATCCGTTCAAATTACATCCATTCAGCACTCAGGAGGGGCATGGAGGGACAAGACCGCGCCAACCGCGTATCAAGTTCGTGACATTCTGTATACCTACGTCTTGCGTCAATTCTGTCGAGATGGAGCCAACGCTGAATGGACTTGAGCCACCGTCTCCGTACCTTTCGTACCTATATACGGAGTTGTAGCCGTGTGTATAAAAGCTGCGATGTCCAGTATTCTGCCCCGGTGGGCAGCTGTTCCGGCAGAGACGATTGATAATGTACCTACCTAAACGCGTAACAATCACATTTTCGTAAATTGGAGGAGTATTCTTGTCTGATCAATATTCACCCATAGTATTTTCAAAAAGCCACCAAGAGCTCCTAGAAACAGTACAATCATTGTACCGAGCGCGTGTTTATCCACGAAACCACGCCCGGTGCTCGGCACCCGACGGACGCTGGGGCTCAGTGACCTGAACTCGGCGGCGCTACCCGGAGAACGCAGTGTCCCCTCACTTGGTGCGCATTGACAGCGATTAACTTTTGTAAGCGGCAGTTACAAATGATGCTTACCTATACATCGTCGCTAGTGCGAGTTTGATGTCAGGCATTTTGCAAAATGCCTGGAAAAATATTTCAGGCAGTTTGTAAAATGCCTGGTAGGTCAGGCAGTTTGCAAACTGCCTGGGCATTTTGCAAAATGCCTGGCCGGTCAGGCATTTTGCAAATTGCCTAGGCATTTTGCAAAATGCCCGAGTTTTCACTTTGCCTGTAACATATATATGTAGCATGTGCGTTTCTCTTTTTGTCTGCCACAGAGCGGCTTTGGCCTGTCTGATACGGCAACTATCGTCACATTCAAGCCGTTCTTCGCTCAGATCCAAGTACCGTACTCGGTGAAACGCGGCGAGCTGCTGCGTCTCAAAGTCTCCGTCTTCAACTTCCTGAGCTCAGACCTGTCGGTAAGTTCCTGGATCAGCCTGGTGGATGACAATATGTCCGCAGATATACTGGCTGCAGAATGCTGCTGTGACGCGCTGTCACTGACGGAACATCGCTGACGCTAAGACCCTGTCTGACCGCACGATGTCGCTGGGACTTGTTGTAGATGGTAGTAGGATACTGTGGCCCCTTGTGGTTGATCGCAGGATGTTATGAACATGTTGTGTCTGACCTCCCTGTCTCGCGTATTGCCAGGTGGCGGTGGTGCTGGCTTCGTCGACAGACTTTAGTGTGGCGTCGGGGGGAAGCGGCAGCCAAACCGTTTGCGTTCGCGCCTCCAAGCCCTCAGTGGTGGAGTTCCCGCTCGAATTCAGCACTCTCGGCAAGGTTAACATCACCGTATCGGCCAGGACGAGTGGCTCAGCCTGTGGCTCTTCCAACCAGGTCCAGGCCAGGTAGGTGAAACGTATGTACTTACCTCGCATGACTCATCGTTATGCGGCCACTGGGACTAAAATGGCGGACGAGACAGTTGAGGCCTGGAATGCGCGGCAACCGCAGCCGTTGGCCTGACTGACTATTGGCCCGGGTGTGTTTCAGTGATGCACTCGTACGCAGCCTTATCGTCAAGCCGGAGGGATTCCCACAGGAGGAGGTCAACACTGCCTTTATCTGTAAGGAGGACAGCACGTCTCCGCCAAAGGAGGAGACGTTCGAGCTGGCCCTACCCAACCAATTGGTACCCGACTCTCAGCGCGCATGGGTCAACATCGTGGGCGACCTGATAGCTCCTTCTGCAGAGGTGAGGAGTCGCTCAGCTCAGCCTTCCATGGTTGAATGACACCGGAAAGGAATAAGTGCTCCTTCTTTCCCCTAAAAAAATAATGCTACATTTTTACAACAAAACAAAGAATGATCAAAAGAAAACAAAGGCTTTAGCTGTGAGTGCTTTACCAACATTTTTTTATTGCTATTTCTTGAAACTTCAAAAGCATTCGCTTATGACCGTCTTTACCTTGGTGCGTTCATTTCAGTGAATACTGAATACAGGGAGGTACCATTGTTTTCCCCGCCTGTGCTGACGTGTGCCGTCATTGGCAGAACCTGGAGCGTCTGGTGCGAGTGCCCACCGGCTGCGGCGAACAGAACATGATCGGTTTCGTGCCCAACATCCTGGTGCGCCGCTACCTGGAAGAGGTGAAGCTGCTGACGGACAGCCTGAAGGACCGCACCACGGCCAACATGCGGACAGGTCAGTGACATGTCTCGCACGCGTGTGTCACCATTTTTTGATGATTTGTTAATCTGTGTTCCAGCGTGTGCTAAAATTGTAGCTGAAACCTACGAACGCATTTTAACAGTAATATCTGATTCTGTATGCATCTGTTTCGTAACGCCTGAAAAAATTACTAGGGGATTTTAAACGCATTAGGTACTCAGATCGAAGTCCGACGGGACGTTAGGTGCTGACGGTGGCCGTCTCCCTGTCTGTCTGTGACTGCAGGGTACCAGCGTCAGCTGCGCTACCGGCGCCGCGAGGGCTCCTACTCGGCGTTCCCGGAGCGCTCGCCGCCGCGCTACAAGGGCTCCCTGTGGCTGACGGCCTACGTGGTTCGTTCCTACATGGCCGCCAGCAAGTACATCGCCATCGACAAAAACGACGTCTCCATCAGCACATCCTGGATTGTCAAGCTACAGGAGAGCAACGGCGCGTTCAAAAGTTACGGCAACCTCTTCCACAAGGAGATGCGCGGCGGCGTGGGTAACGGCGCCGTGGAGGCGATGACGGCCTACGTGCTGCTGACGCTGCTGGAGGCCAATGACCAGCCGGCGGCCGCCAAAAAGGCCGTGGACTTCCTGCTGGCCTCCAGCACATACAGCACCCTGTACGCCGAGATCCTGGTGGCGCACGCGCTGGTGATGGCCGGGAAGACGTCCGAAGGCAGCAGTCGGGTGCAGACGCTCCTGACCAAGGGCACTCGCCGCGGCGGACAGCTGTACTGGAAGGGAGACCGCACCAGCAAGTACGGCGGCAGCCGCGCGGTGGACATCGAGATGACATCGTACATGGCGATGACGCTGCTCAAACTGGGCGGCTCGTCGAACCTGGGCGAGGCCGCGCTGGCCGTGAAGTGGATCAGCGCCCAGCGCAACAGCCAGGGCGGCTTCGTGTCCACCCAGGACACGGTGGTAGCGCTGACGGCACTCACCGAGTTCGCTATCGCCACCTACTCGGAGAGCACGGCCGTCGACGTACTGGTCACGGCCTCGCCCAGCTACCGGTACAGCGTGCAGATCACGGCCGAAAACCGGCTGCTGACACGCCAGGACTGGCTGCCGCAGCCGCTCGCGCTGCCTAAGAAGGTGACGTTCTCGGTCAATGGACTGGGCTGCGCCGTCGTCCAGTCGGTGTTCCGCTATAACACCAAGGTGGCCTTCCCCGACCCCAAGTTTAACCTGAAGGCCGTCATCACCAAGGTGAAGAGTTCCTGCTCGTTCACGCTCAACATCTGCACCAGCTTCAAGGAGCCCAACACAGAGAGCAACATGGCCATTGTCGAAATCGAGATGCTCTCTGGATTCGTCACCATTGACAGCAGTCTGAGAAAACTGGAAAATGACAAGGGTGAGAGCCTGACTATTGAGAGTAAAACTATAGTGTTTGTTCCTTTTTGCTAACACTTTTCCGCTCCTAATTGAATACTTAGTAACTAAAAGTTTGGGAGAAACTGCTGCCACACGAGTTCAATTGTTGCACTATTTATATTGTCTACATACTTACTGATAGTACGTCAGTGTTGGTTTGTAACCGATGCCTAGTAGTTATATGGTAGCTAGTAGCTACGAGTAGAGTAGTATATGACGGCAGCGAATGCGCTAATTTCCGAGCATCAATAACGCAATACTAAAACGTGTGTCATGAATCAATGTTGCATATATAGTAACAAAACGTTTTCCCGACAGTTATTGAGCGCTGGGAATTCAACGAAGGCAAGGCCAGCCTCTACTTTGAAGAGTTCACTGATAAGGAGGTCTGCTTCGACGTGCGCTTCATCCGCGCTCTCGAGGTCGAAAAGCTGAAGCCGGCCGTTCTCCGAGTATACGACTATTACGCCCATGAGGACAGATTTGAAGTGGTGAGTATTTCAAATCATTACTTTTCCCGTGACATCAAAAGGAAGAACTTAAGTCGGTTACAAAATCTCAGATTAGCGGGAAAAAGCTGGTTGCAATACTTGAACTCAAAGCTCGTCTCGCTGGCACTCTTTTGTTCCAGTGAACATTTATTTCATCATGTGCGTAAAATTAAATGGATGAGACCTTCTTTGCTGAATGTTGTTAATAGTTTGAAAGACAGTCCACGCTTGTTTTAAACATCTGCCTATTTCTTTGTCGTGTTTACAGACATATGGCCCGCCTGAATGTCCGTGATAAAACATGATGCGGAAAGAACAGATCCCGGCAACGACGGATACGACGGTTGGATTTGACGAAATCAAGCATCTTTGGTGTGATAAGGTTATTTACTGTTGGATAATGTGCATTTACGGAATAAGCGCCTGGGGTCGTGTAGTTGTGTTTCCTGTAATGAAGAGAAATAAATGTCTTGTTTTATATATATAAAAACAAGATTTATATATATATATATAAACAAGATCATTACATTTCTCTTTTATCAAATACGTAAGATGATTGAGGGTAACAATCCGAATAAATTGAGACAAAAAGTGGTGTTTGCAGAAAATTCATCGAGAAACGGCATTATTTGACAATTGTCTGCTCCGCCCACATCTGGCTGGGTGACCTTTTCTGCATGGGGTTTTTGAGAGCGTGATATGCGTTGGAAAATGTTGTATTTGCTACCCCAAGGTAAGGTCCGATCATAGCACATCGAGGAGGCGGAGAAATGACGTTTTACGCCCCCCCCCCTTCCCTTTTACCATGGCCACGACACGCGGCAAACAGCGCTCGAAAAGTCAAAAAGACATTTCGAAGAGTAGAAAGTCTTCAGTCATTTTAAGCTCAGATCCGATCAGGCCACCAGAGGTCATTAGAGGTCAAAGTTGCTCGATTACCGGTGTTAGACAAAATCAGAAGCGGCGGAACACCTTCAACTAAGGGGGGGGGGGGCACTGCCGACTGTTGGTCCCATTCTTTCCATGCAACGCCATAGCGCTAATGTTAAAACACCAAAATCAAAGGGGGTACGGTGCCCTGGTGCCCTCCCCGTTCCGCCGCCTATGGACAAAATGCCTCTTTTTCCTTTTCATCCCTCTCCTTCCGGTCTCTGTCTCTCGCACTCCTCTCGGCGTCTCTCTCGTCTCTCTCTTGTCTTCGTTCGCCGTCTCCTGTTTGTCAAGGTCTCCGGCACCGTACTTTCCGACGAACAGCCCGACGAGCCGCGATGTCCAAATACTATTCTTGGTGATACATACAAGAATTGCGTTTGGACAATCAGAACTCATTGGGCCTTGTGGAGAGCGGTACAGCCGTTTTGTGCCGCAGCGCAGGAAGGGCCAGTCCGGTGTCCATCCGTTGGAGCTCGTCCCGTTGTTCAGCTTGACCTCCCGCTGGTGGCGGCCGATATACCACACCGTGGCCGGTCCCGTACACCCCTTCCAGCGGTGCCGTGCCCCGCGGCCGGCCGCCGTGTCGTCCGTTCCGCGCCGGTGCCAAGTCGTCGGCTCCGACGCCGGTCATCTCCTCAATTAGCCAGATTAGTCGGGGCCGTGTCCGTCGCCAGAGAAAGGGACGCTAAGAGCGATTCGGCGCGGGGACAGCACACCAATCTGTCCGTGCCGGCCAGGGGACGACATGCCCGCTGGCGGAATTAAATACGGCCCGGGGGGTGATACCGAAACTGCAGTGATGGTCGGCCGTGCCGGGATCCGGCGGCGTCGGTACTGAATAACTGGAGACCGGTCACAGACACATTATGCTGTGACTTCTTAGTCGCCCGAACTGACATTTTTCAAGTTATATTTAAGTTAGATGGAAGATACTTAACTGTTGAACTTCCTTACTTGACATTCGGGCGTGAGAAGCCAATACGTCAGAAGGGCTGGTGGTTACAATGACCATACACTTACATGCAAAGTGGATAGTCCCACGAACTGAACCATCAAGGGGATAAACAGCTCTGATAGCCGGCGTTACCAACGGTCACCGTACCGGTAGATGGACCCAGACGCCCGCTCGAGCCGGACACTTTCGTCCGCTGGTCACTACAATCCGCTATGATTGTGTCCAGACAGAGATAAGTTATTACTTACCCGAACATATGTGCCTGAAGTGCTCAAAGTGCGGCATTAGCTGCCGCAGTCGGCCGCTACAATAGGCCGCCGCGCTCCGTCTGCTGGGTTTTGTCCGGGCCACCGGTCGCCGGCGACTCCGTGGCCGTTCGGAGCGAGTCCAGCTGCCGACCGCGCCGAGACGGTCCCCTTCGAAACCATACAGCCCTGCCGGCGCACGTGCGGCGCCACGTGGCGCCTCCTCCCTCCAGTAGCGTGCATTCCGGTGCGCGCGGCTGAATCGGCGCGCTGCCGCCACCAGCTGCTTCATTCTTCTTCCCCAGACGGTCGACAAAGAGTGCTGATGCGTCTGGGCGGCGGCCGGCGCGAGGGGCGGCCGGCCAGGTGCGGCCAGCGCCGCCAGGTGACGGAGGGCGGCAGGGGCGTCCTTTGTCACTCGCCGGCACAGAATCGGATTTGTTAGCGGCGGCGCGTGCGCGCCAGGGCGAGCTCGCTGCACTAGATCGGTGGGCGGGAGCAATTTCAACCAATTGGACCGATGATGGGACTGGAGCAAACCGGGTCCGTTTATATTCATTAATTGGGGGAGGACTGTAGGAACAATGCCTCCGATCGTCCCCATGGCTAAGGACACATCGTCACAGCAACGTGCTCCACAAAGGAAAATACAGTTTTGTAGCAACCGTACACTCTCCAACACACTTTCGTATTCATATAGGGTTTATTACGGAGCGAGCGAAGCGAGCGGAGTCTTACGTAGAATAACGGAAATTTCTGAGTATGCCGGCCGGCCGTGGTCACGATTTTGCGACGCTTATATATCAGCAACCACTTGACCGATTTACATGCGGTAATTTTTGTAGGGCAGCTTCATTCCTTCCACCAAGTATTGGACTATTCCCGATGCATGTGGATGCCCCTAATGCTTGTGCCACGTGAAAAACGAAGAGGTGTCATTTTTGTAACAATAGCAATATCTCGGTAACTACTGGGCCGATTGCGCTGAAACTTGGCATGTAGGTAGGCACCCACTAGGCATTAGGCAATGCATTTGCATGTGCCACTGGGGGTGCTGCTGCACGTGCGCACGTGCAGGGGTCGATTCCAGATCTCGAGAACGGCTGGACCGATTGCGCTCAAATTTGGTACGTGGTTAGGTTAGGGACCGGTTAGCAGGGTGCCGTGCAAAAGTCAGTTGGGATCCATTTAGCATGTGCGTACCTACGTGCAGGGTGCCGCTTCCAGATCTCGAGAACGGCTGGGCTGATTGTGCTCAAATTTGGCACATCGCTAGAGACCGGTTAGTAGGGTGCCGTGCACAGGTCAGTTGGAGTAACCCCTCGCGATTTCGCACGTGCAAGGCCCACCCTCTCGCTCGCTCCGTTAGTCGCCCCAAAAGGCGTTATACTGGTCAGGGATATTCAGCTAAACCTAGCGAAACAAACTACCATGATTGAGACGGTCATCAATAACACAAGGTGTAATGATTAGAATGGTAGGCTCATAATAAGCTACACTTTTTACTGCGGCAAATAAGGTACAAGTTTTCGTCACACACGCTCGTGCTTCTGGTGAGGAAAAGGTCATCTGCGTCTCGTTTCTTACTTCCTTGTTCAGTTTTAAGTCATAACATACCTAATAGCGAAATATTTCGACACTTCCCAGCAAGAACATCCGAATTCCGAAGTGTCAAATTTTTCAAAATTGAGATTTTTATACCATTCGATTCAGCTCGTCGGGTTGAGTCGAACGGTATAAAAATCTCAATTTCGAAAAACTTGACACTTACGATGTTCTTGCTGGGAACTGTCGATTTGTTCCTACCCAACACATGCTGCCGCCAAAAGTTCTAAAGTTGAAAGGTTGAGTTTTATACAGTAAAAGCAGTAGTTATTCATCGTACCTTCATGCTTCTGTAAATGTTTGCTTTTTCAGCAAAATGATAACATAGTGCATTGATGTGCACTTGCCAAATGTACCGTGTAGAAAGATTTGAATTTCAGCGTACACAAATTAAACCTCGCCGGCCGAGGGGTGGGGGGGGGGGGGCGGGTGCCACCCCCCCCCCTCATAGGGATTTTTCGCGATAGCTCCAAACACGCCGGTGATAGAAAGCTAAAGCTTGGCATACCTGACCTTTGATTCAAGTATGAAGTTGGATCTGTTGACACCAACCGCATTTTCGGGTCAGGTCAGGTCACTGACCTATGACGTCATAAGTGAACCTCTGCACAGCTTCGCAACGCCCTCACTGCCAGAGGAGCTTTCACAGGGAAATGAAACTTGCAAGACCTATTATCCATTAGGAGTCTCACAACCTGTATATCTCGGATTTTTTCCTAAAGGTCATATGAGGTCAAGTCATTTTCGTGACCTCACCATTATAAGTTAGCGGGGAAAATTGAAAACTGCTATTCTGGCGCCGGAAACGATATCCAACTATCTCAAGCGCACAGAATCGTGATTTGAAGAAAAAACGACCCATACCTAACAAACACTGCATTCGCCACTATCTATGACATTGCAGAAATCGCGTCTTGTGAAAAAATCCCAATTGTTTACAAATACCTTATAGTGTTCTGCCATCCGAGTATTCAATCGCCCATAGGAGTACCTACAATGGCACGGCTGTAACTGGAACAATCAGGCACTTTATACAGAGCATATGTATCATAAGATAAGCATTTCTTCAATCATAAACCTGAGCAATTTTGCAATAACCAAAAACAAGTCGATTGCTTTTAATATTACACACCCTGATAATCTCATTAAAGAGACGATCATGATAAAACGCATTTATGCTCAATCACTGAACCACCCGTTATGTCAATTTTTGACCGGCCCACCAGTGGCTTATAAAGTGTGCAATCATCCAGTGTGCACTTACTTAAAGTGTGCACTTACGTCCAGTGCTATAAAGTGTGCAATCATTTTATACAGTTCGGCTCTTGAATAGGTAATGTTAAATATTGGCCTTCTCATCAGCTTTTTTCGTATAAAGAAAAGTCTCAGAGCCTTGGATCACTCGCTGCAAGTTCAACTTTAACAGTTTCAATGCAATCGTTGCAGTCTAATGCGAGTTCGCATTAAAAACAATATCATGCACATGCATGCCTGGGAAATGTGATGATTGACCACAAGTATTGAATCTTAAAAACTGCTTAATTTAACTTAACCCTATTCCTGGCGGGCTCCGCCGAGACAAGAAACTGGCGGGGGGGGGGGCCGATTCGGCCCCCCCCCCCCTGAGATCTCGAGAACGAAGCAAGCTAGCGACAAGCGGTAAACGGCATCGGATACGCACGGCCAAGATCTACAATTTTTACTAAGGTCATT